GATTAAAGTGAATTTCGTGAAGGACGCCGGATCCTCAACAGGTTCGGCCATGAGAGCCTCATACTAAACATGAAGGGGTCTTCGTAATAGCCCATCTCTAGTCCACCATCTCCTCTTACCTGATTAGATATGGGCTAGTAATCATTAAAGAAAAATGTTGATCAATACTGCTTCTCTTTTGATTTTGAAATTTGCTGTTCATTTTACAATAACATTAATTATCGTGAATGTTTATGTTTTAAAAATATGTAAAAAGCTTGTTAATTAATCTTATTATCACTCAAGGGCCAGCGTCCGAGGCTTATGAGACACTTCGTTTTATGTACATATTTACTCCAATTTCACGATCCAAATTAATGTTTGTAAAATATGTAACATTAAATGCTATTCTATTACTTATGAATTGTAGTACGATATAAATATATTTTTACCTCTATGTATGTCATCAAGCAGCTCGACCACTGCCTCCGCATTCTGAGCTATTTCAATATAAAATTGCAGCCAGTAAATGGCAATTATCATTTATTGAATGTTCACGCAAATATGTCTATTTTAACAAGAAGGTAGTATTTATACCCTTGCACATGATAAAAAGCACATGATACTATTAATTTATCCCATGTAGCCCGGGGTTCTATGATATCACGATACTTAACGTTTATCGGAAAATATTTAAATATAAATATCATAAATGAATGAGAATTTTCTTCCATCTTATAATTGAACCTTTTCCAGAACTGTTTGTCAAAAAAATTATTTCAAAAGAACCAATAAAAATGACATTTTTTAGAATATTTTCAATGTCTGCCATTTTGGGTAATTTCAGAGGAGGTTACTACGGTATCAAGGTAATCCCCAAAAAAGCAAGTATGGAAGGATAGATGGGTCAAAACTTTCAAGTTAAGTTGTGAAAAACTTCCAACAGTTAACTTGCTATAAAATTAAAACTATATGAACAGACTATAATTATGTCAGTATATGTGTTTATAACATATTTTAATTGACTTTGTAAAAACCATTAAGGAAATGGTAGTCAAATATGAAGGTTTTATAAAATAGTTTTCTTGTCACAAATACATTCATTATTAATCAAATTAAATTTATTGGCAGATGAAAATGAATATAGTGTGCAAGTTTTACAAATATTAGCATCATCATGTGTTGCTTTTACTAGCAGTCACAGAAAATTTATATAGCTTGATATCATAGAACCCTTGATATTATAGGAACCGAGTATATGTAATATAAATCCGTGTTTATCCGTAACTAAACAGTGGTGGACCGTACCATTCCGTACCGTTTCGTGTTGCAACGCAATAAACCGTGTAAGACCGTGCTAATCCCTGCCTCTCCGTAGTACAACGTATTACGATCGTAGCTTTCCGTGACAATGCCGTATTAATCCGTATTAAAACCGTAGCTTATACGTAGGGTAACCGTACAAATACGTAGTTCTCCGTACCAAACCGTGGAAATCCCTAGCAGGTTGAGGCCTACGAATCAGTACGGACTAGTACGGTTTCCGTACGGACCAGTACGTATCAGTACGGTTTAATACGGACTAGTAGGGATACGCTACGGTTGATTTTTCCGTAGCAAATTTTTGTGCATGTTCAAAAATTGTCAAGGATCGCTACGGATATACAAGGACTACTCCTTAGCTCGAATCTTTTCAAGTAAAGAAAGCGGGACACCTTTCATATTAGATAATGGCTTGGGTTCAGGGGCTTTCTTCGGGGTCGAGACTGGTTCATGGATGGATGATTTATCCGGTTACAACATGGTAGCCCTTAGTGCTGCCTCAACCTTTAACAAAAATATTACCAAATAATGACAAAAGAAAACCACACCAAATCAATTTATGATCTGATAACTTAAAAATCAATACATGTGTGACCAATTGAGAAGAACTGCAGAGTATTTTCAATTTGTTGCATTTAAAATATATATTTTTTATATATTCTATTATCTAACAGCTTGAAATGCAAACAGAATACCTGCAATATCCAATGTGTATTATAATTGAATGCTATCAAATATTCATGTAAATAAATGCCTTTTCATATGTACAAGCAACTGGAGGTCCTAAATGTAGAATTAAAACCTATGCTTAAAGAATATTCAAGTAATCATACCTTTGGAGAAAGATTTCTTGTACTCTGTAAGACATCTTTGGCAGTTTGATAAGTCTGTACATCTGGGGGCTGAGGTAAGGGACTTTCTAAAATATCCGGGACTTCATCAAGTGGAAACTTTGGATGCCATCTTGTTATTTTGTCGTCAGGTATTAATAAAGGTCTACTCAGCTTAGATAAAAATTCCTGTGCAAAAAATATTAAAATTCTTTAAAAAAAAACAACAACAAAAACCTATCAACAACAAGAACAAAACTATTATAACCAAGAAGCATAATAACCTTTAACTGGCTCACAAAACAGACTTTTACCAATTGTAACATTTCAGTTAAATAAATTACAGATAAACTTTTATAAAATCAAATAAAAAAAGCCATAACTCAGTCAAAATATAAGAGAAAGAGGCCTTGGATAGTTACCTCCTATTCTCTCAAATAAGTGTGTGAAATTTCAACTTCCTTCAGTAGTTTTGTAGGTAACAACTTGTACATTAAAACTTAACCAAAGTATGTAACCCATGCCATCGTCTGGGTTAGATAATAACAGTTTCTTTCCTTCGAATTGTCAAGCAAAAAACTGGCTATATATTGAAATAGAAAAACGAGATTGTGACCTTGAGTGTCAAGTTTTTTTCTACATGCCATATTTTAAAGTGGTTGCTCATACCATTTTGGCTGTTTTTTCTTTCTCCAATTCTATATCATGCTTACCACTTTTTTATCCTCATTATCTCTAATCATTAATGTATTTTTTTTCTCAAGAAAACAGTTGTTTTCAAATTATACAATCATTGTTTCACAACTCTACTTTGTGGTGCTGTATAAATATCAAAATATTGATAAAAAATGTTTGTGATGGCAGAGATCACTGTACTGATAATGGGTGATCACTGCGTAGGAGATTGGAGACATCGGCGACGGTTGCACCATTTAGCGGCAATAGTGCGACATGATGGCGGTGGTAGGGGTGACAAGCAAACATGTATCCAGCCTTCCTGAATTATGGCCTGCTTACATTGTTAGCTTTTAGAAAAGAATAAAATACATTGTATTCGATTGGGTGCCTGAATATATGGGATGTCATTTTTATACACGCGTGTTTTTCCCGTTCATACCATGCACGTGTACGTCAAATCATATCATGCACGTGTACTTCAGTTCATATCCTGGACGTGTACTTAAGTTCATATAATGCACGTGTACTTCAGTTCATATCATGTACGTGTACTTAAGTTCATATCATGCACGTGTACTTAAGTTCATATCATGCATGTGTACTTCATATCATGAACGTGTACATCAGGTCATATAATGCACGTGTACTTAAGTTCATATCATCAACGTGTACTTCAGGTCATATCATGCACGTGTACTTAAGTTCATATCATGCACGTGTACTTCGATAAGTTCATATCATGTACGTGTACTTAATTTCATATCATGCACGTGTTCATATCATGTGTTCATATCACGTGTTCATATCATGCACTTCAGTTCTAATGTATGACATTATATTTCAGCCATTCCTCGTTAAATATGCATCGTCATGCACACTATTGGATGTAACTCACACAAATTTTGATGTTTTCGTATATCTAGCGCGTGATGGAACATAAAATTGCAATTAAAGTATGTAAAATATGTTCAGCTTGTCTTTAACACTAAACAAACTGTGGTTTAAAGGCATATTGAGTTTCCTAACAGTTCTGCTTTAATCTGAATGAATAATTCACATCTATATAAATTTGTTTGTTTGCTTTCAGATACACAGGTACCCCAACAAAGTTATAAATTATCTATTACATCATTGTGATGTTGTTATAAGAAGAAATAAACAATTTATGTTTCTTGGTTTTTGAGGTTATTTCCTTTTATTAAAGCTGCATGCCTCGAGATGAGGGACAATGTTTCAAGAAAAACAACCTTGATAAAAACGTACGTTACGGCTTAAAATGCATGCCTACATATGAGCCAAATTATTTCAAGAAAATCAAACTTGATATAAATGTACTAAGACCTTTAAAAAAAGTACAAAATATTCAAAATTAAAGATGTAATTTACATGAATTATGCAATTCCTGACTAATTTTGCAGTATTTCTCACTGCATGACTAACGCAAAATATAGGACAATTTTTGCATAATCTGATCTATTTTTGTAATTCTCCTAGTTTAAAAGTGCTGTTTGCAATGTGTAAATTACTTTCTTTGCTCTGTTGATAATAGTTTTACTTTTTAATATATTTAAAAAAAAACAACTTCAAAAATACGAATGAAGGTATGGTGCTTTAATATTTCTTAACTCATAACTACGCATGGACTTTTGGGTATATCCATTCGTGTTTCGGCTGATCTAAATCAGCACTGGTCACTTGGGTAGATTCGTGTGATGGGATATAGGAAAATTTATATTCAAACGTTAAAGAAACGTTAGACGTATATACCCCATAATCGTATTTTACAGAGCCCCTGGAAACGACTTTTGAAATATTTTTGAATTGTTTTTTTCTATCACGTTTTAAAAGAAATTTCTGCGTCTTTATCAAGTTTTATCAGGAAAATTTGATGATTTTTTTCATTTTGTACGACATCGTAGTCTATATAAAGAACAATTTATGTCTATTTTTACTGTCAAATTCTATACACATATCATATTACAGTAATGATTCATATTTGAACGGATTTGTTAGCTAATTAACAAATTTTATCATATAAAATTGGATTTTATTATATTGCATTCAAAGATTAACATGCCCTCTATTTTTAGGCACAGTCCAATTAACTATACAAAAACGTGTATTGTACCTTTATTTACGCTCCACTGCCCTTATAAACATAGTGCAAAAATTTAAACATACAAGTTAAATTCCATATTTAAAGGACGTTAATTTCGAATTATCTTGTAAATTTAGCAGTAATAATTAATTTTAGATAAAGAATTATTGTGCACAAGTTATTCTTTATACATAAAGCTATTAAAACAGTTTCTGCATTTGTCAGTTCATGTAGATGCAATGTCACTGTAGTTAAACTTTAAAAAGATAGTATTACTTAACGTATAAGTTCGTCGGGTAGAAATTCTTTTTCACTTTAGTTAACGAACACTAAAAGTTGCATAATTATGGATCATAACATAACTCATTCTGTATTTATAAGACGTTTTTGACAAGTTTGAATTAGTATATGTAATGATAGTAAAATGTTAACAGAAATCGGATAGCAGGGACAAAAACAAAAAATGGACAAAAAGAAGGGATACAGTCTTGATCATCCGAAACGGGTAAATATTATTACCTTTTTTTCGTTTTTTACACATTGAATGACATTGTCGTATAGTTTAATGTTGTTCATTTCACTTAATTGTAAATCAGTTCGTAGTTTGTGATGAAATATTCTTGTAGTGATAAAGCAGTGTCATTGAAAGTGGGCTGTCTTGACTGTTTAATTTACAATTTTTGTCGTTTTGTTTTGTGTGTTAATATATACAGTTAAAAAGTAAAGTTAAGTTGTCAAAAAAGCTTAGTTATTTTGATATTGAATTGATTGTTATTTGTGATTTCTTAGTTGAAAACAGTAGTACATTGATCATTACATTCTTAAGTACAAAACATGTTTACCCCATCAATGTATATACATGAATATTGCACGCATACATGTATATATTACATACATGCCTATTGTACTATGTATGCATTCTTTAAATGCCCAAACGTTTCGTTAAAAATGAATCCGATTATATATGCAGTTAAAAGCTATATAATTCATTAGTTGTTATAATAATAATAATAATAATAATAATATTAATAATAATAATAATAATAATAATAATAATAATAATAATAATAATAATAATAATAATAATAAATAAAAATAATAGAAATAATGCATATACGCAAGTAATGCTCGGCTGTCCAATGAATCCTGTGGTACGAGCGAAACCAGAGCGTCGCTTATGTATAACCCAAAATGCACTTGTCCAGCTTCCATTTCTTTTGCGACTGTCAATTTTAGAAATAATATCGGTTTCATCGGCGTTTAACGGCTATTTTACATTTGTTTGGAGTTTTCATGCGTGTAGGAATTGACCACGGATGTCGTGTTAGAATATTAAATTAGGGGATATTGAAATGAAATTTAAGTAACAAGATGGAGACTGGTCAAACTACGCGGACATGCGGACTGACCTGCCTCTATGCTTGTGGCAAACAAAAATAACTTCCGGTTTCAGAAATGGTTAAAACGAATTAAATCTTTAGTTGAATGTTGTTAAATTTATTGAAATCTGATGATACAGTTTTTCTTAAAATCTCTTTGTGATGGACTACAGCAATTCAGTAAAGTATAAATGTCATCCTAAAATGTCTTAGAAACTTCTTATTTATCAATATATATTTTAAAATAATGAAAATCATACACTTTAGGTTGAATCCTCACTTATATGTTAGTTTAGATTTATATGTCCATTTAGATGGACATTTTATTGATTGTTTTGTACACGCATTTCACACTAAATGGTCGGTCAAATAAATTCTTTTGTTATTCACACAGTCGGTGTACACATGGTATAATAGTAATTCAAAGCAAAATCTAAATTGTTGACTGTTTTTGAACATAAATACATGTACTGTCAGAATATTGACCAGGCCATAAGGACATATTAAACTGGGTATTAGAGAAAGTGAACTATATCTCTCAATTCCATTGACAGTTAGGCAATAAAGTAGATGAAAAAGTAAAAAGCTTCATCCATCTAATTTTACATTATTACGATATTTTATTTTTCGGTGTCCTTGTTTGCTTGTGTACATATAAGAATTTTATATAATCTTGTGTTATTTTCATTATATATATAACATGTATATTTAACCCATTTTTGTCCAAAGAGTGATGGACAAACAGAGCGCATCAATCAAATGCTCATATTTCGGGAAGGTCTTCGTGATTGAATGAATTTTAATAATAGATAGCCCTTGTTATCACAAATGAAAATATTTTGTTACATCAAATGCGTTTTACTATTATGTGTCATGTTCAGTTTTCTATAGTATTTGTTGTTATACTTATTGTTGCATAAAACTGATATACAAAGTATAGTAAAGCGGTTTTCACGTAAAAATAACCCGGCGAATTAAAGTTCTATGCAATTATATAATTAAAAATTATCTCTTCTATTGTTTGAACCGGGAGTGATTAACCTTTGTCACTAGTAATGAGGAGACAGCCGTTGGCAGCTCAATTTATATTTTTTTTTTTATTTAAAAAAAGCCCCAAAACAAACCTTTAACTTTGAATAGACTGTTACACATTCAAAGCAGGGTTTCAACCAATGACATAAATTCAGCAAGTTAATTGTTATCAATTTTGTTAATAAGCAGGTGGGCATGCCATGTAATTACAAATAACTAATTATTTATATCGAATGTCTAACAAAAAAGCCGTTTATACTTGTGCATATATATCGAAATACAGTTGCCCTCAAATATTATACAAATGTAGTGTTACTTCTATCAACATGTATTTCAAAATGACACGAACGAAATGATCAGTTTTAGAAAATGTGAGTAAACAAACTTTAACTTTGAACTTTCAAGTTTACATTTTTTGAGTCATTTAAATTCAAATATACACTAAACTAATCAAAAAATATATTGTTCGTGCTTTCGAAGCATACACGTATTTAAGAGGGACAACTTTCGGGGTGGAAATTTTGCCACACTTTTAATGAAGTAATATAATTTTACATGCATTATTTCATTAACATTGTATCAAATTGATTCAGTTTATTGCGTGTTTCAAAGTTTCACCCGGTTAACCTGTATACTACATTCGTTGCATATAAGAAAGAATTTAAACCCAATATTTACTCTTAGTATCATGTTCAAATGCATTGTTAGAATTTTAAACTAAATGAAACCAAAAAAATTTGAAACATTTATTTGTACTATTAGAACAGAACCATGGATTGACTCAGACATTCTTAGTGTAATTAATGAAAGGGATAAAGCTTTTAATAAATATAAATGTGATAGAAACTGTGATAATTATGATTCATTTAAGTCTCTCAAGAACAAAGTTCAGTATCTTGTTGCCAAAGCAAAAAAGGAATATTTTACTAATACACTGGATGAGAACAAAAATGACTCAACCTCTTTATGGAAAACTGTTAAAAATCTTGGTTTGCCTTCCAAGAAGGGTTCATCTTCAACCAGTTCAAATATTTGTTTAAATATTGATGATAATGTGTGTTTTGAAAAGAAACTTATTGCTGAATCATTTAACAAATTTTATACAACAGTTGCATGTAAACTTTTTGAAAAGTTACCAGAAAGTATGCATAAATTTGGTACGAATTTTGTTAATACTTTTTATGCAAACAAGGGTGTTTTTGCAAACAGTTTTTCTTTTTCCATTGTTTCTGAAAGTAAAGTTCTTAAATACTTAACTTCATTAGGTGTCAAAAAAGCTACTGGCTTAGATGGTATACCCTCACGTTTTATCAGAGATGGATCCCCAGTTATTGCTAGTCCATTAGCTCATATCATAAACTTATCCCTTATCCAAGGTCAAGTCCCTGATGATCTTAAATCTGCAAGAGTTGTTCCCCTCTATAAAAAGAACGACAAATTGTCTGTTGGTAATTACCGGCCTGTGTCCATTTTAAATGTTGTATCTAAAATCCTTGAAAAGGTGGTTTATGACCAGGTTGAAGCTTATTTTAAGGATAAAGATCTGCTGTATAAATTTCAATCAGGTTTCAGGAGTGGCTTCTCTACTGATACTTGTCTGATTCACCTTACAGACTTTATCAGGTATGAAAATGATAAAGGTAATGTTGTTGGTATGGTGCTGCTGGATTTGCAGAAAGCGTTTGACACAGTCGACCATTCCATTCTTTTAATGAAACTGCAAGCATCAGGTCTTAGTATTGACGTCCTAAATTGGTTCAAATCATATTTATCAGATAGACAGCAGCTTGTAGATGTCTCTGGTACTTATTCTTCCAATTCCAAAATAACATGTGGTGTTCCTCAGGGCTCAATCCTTGGACCCCTTCTCTTTTTAATTTATGTAAATGATATGTCAGCTGTGGTCAAAAATAAATTGCTTTTGTATGCTGATGATTCTGGTATCCTTGTATCTGGTAAAAGTTTATCTGTTGTTGAAAAGGCATTGACAGATGATATGGAATTGGTCAGCCAATGGTTAGTGGACAATATGTTGTCATTGCATTTGGGTAAAACCGAGTCAATTTTATTTGGGTCCAGGCAAAAACTTAGGTCACAATCTAACCTGCATATAACCTGTTCTGGTACATCCATTGAATCAACTTCATCTATCAAGTATCTTGGGATTACTATAGACCAAAATCTGTCATTTTGCGCCATGGCCGAGTCTGTTCTTAAGAAGGCCAACTCTCGGTTAAAATTTCTTTACCGCAAGAAAGAGTTCCTTACTCAGCATACCAAGAAACTTCTGGTTATGTCTCTTATTCAGTGTCACTATGATTACGCATGCTCTGTTTGGTATAATAGCTTGACACAGTCTTTAAAAAATAAGTTACAAACTTGTCAAAACAAAATAATGAGATTTGTACTTGACTTGGACTCTAGAGCCCACATTGACCCATCCCACTTTAAGTCCCTTAACTGGTTACCGGTCCACAAAAGAGTTGAACAGATAATGTTGTGTCATGTTTTTAAGATAAAAAATGGCCTATCTCCGGATTACATGTCTGAACACTTTATTTCACAAGATTCCATTCATAATTATAGTACAAGACTTAGTCAAAAGGGTGGATATTGTCTACCTAAGGTCAAAGGCCAGGGTTCTAAATCATTTGCTTTCTCTGGTATTAAATTATGGAATGATTTACCTGTAAAGTTAACGGAGATCAACAGGTTACTAAGTTTTAAGGTTGCCATCAAAAGTCATCTTATGAACAGTATTTAAAAAAATTTTTTAAACATGTTTTTACATGTTTCGGCTCTGGATTTTAAATTGTCTGCCATTTATCTTATTACAATTTTAGTAATGTGTTTTAAATCCTAGCTGTAAACAGGAGTATCATTAACTCAAGATTTGACTGTGATATACATTTTTATGATTTATTAGTATTTTTAAACATGATTATATTAAGGTTTGCCTCTCTATGTCATGCCGCTAATACAAAGGACCACAATGGAAATAAGAGCTTTTTTGCCCTTTTTGGCTTGCGGCTGCAAGCCATTTCATTTGGAAAACCTGTTCCGGTTAGGTGGTTTTCTGCTTACATTTATAAGTGCATGATTGAACGGGAAACCAGCTGAAATCGTGCCAATCGCAACTTTTCGGCCTTTTCCGTCACTCTTCGGATTAATGATAATAGCCGATGTACTTCCGATTGCAATCGTGACAATTCAGGCGATTCCGTCATACTGCGGAATCAGACGAAGTAATATTACGGAAATCTAAGCTATTTTAGTTACTTCGGTAATCCCAGTTTGTTTATATAAATAGGATTCGTATTTTTACTTGATTTATTGATTTAAACCGTAATAAATTATAAACGAAATTGTTCCGTTTCAATTCTTTTTCAAGACGCAAAAGTTAGTTTCTTTTATCATTGTTTTTTGTCTGTATTAGTTTTACACAATAGAGGATGTTGACTGTAGTAGTATTCCGTCTTCAAAGGGTGGTCCAAATCACACAGTGCATGATCGAGGTAATCTAAAAATAGCCCATGCATATCATTAACCTTACCACGTGTTTATTTATAGATAGCGCATCGTATCTGGGAACATGCTTATTAATTAAATGAAATGTGCACACTTGTTTCCTTTCAGTATGATAGATCTTCACGTTAGTATTTTTACGATTGATTATTTTCTTTATTAGTTTTATACAATAGAGAATAGATTTCAAATCGTTTTGACAAAAATATTCGTTTTTACAAAAATAAAAACAAATAAATATGTTTGGATGAAGGCACAACTGTGCAAGCCTTTCCTTTTAAAAGGAAACTTTATTTGTGTTATCCTTGGTTTTGGTGAGCATGTCATAGTTTTACTCGTATGTGATATAGTATTTAATAATGCTTATTATTTTATCCTATGTTATATTGTCAACTATGTATATGCTTCCTTTGCCGAATTAAATCTATCTATCTATCTAGTATTATACAGGTGGACTATATTTATAAGTACTTAGAGGTATTATTCTGAAAATAATTCTAAAAACGGTCAAAAATAGAAACCTTAAGAAACGCCTAAAACTGCAAAATTGAAAATGTTTCAAACTATCATCAAAATGGTAATTTGCAAATTATTATGGCACTTTAACACTTCCTGTTTATTAAGGTGACAGTAACTCATTTCCATGCATTAATCATTGCATACATACATTCATATCAAATAATGCATGAAATGCAAATGAATTTTGTTGTCAAAACATTTACATTTTATGATGAGCATGTATAATTGAAGAAGTGTTATTTGGTCTTAAGAAAATTAGCATAATATATAATTTAATATACGTTTTGCACAGTTTTTTGTCAGTTGCATTAAATAAATCGGCAATGTTTTGTAGCGTATCCAAATAGAGAATGTAAAGGCTTGGAGTGTACGTATCGTTCCGTTCATAATTACTTCATCATCATTTTAATGTATTGCTTTTAACCCATAGAAATGAGTGGGGGTTCGAATCCTTTCAGGGACCTTCTGAGAAAGCTTCCGAAGGTCAGTGGTTCTTCCTCGCGCCCATTAAGGTACAGATTGGCATTTAAGATCTTCATTCAGAAATATTATTTATGTCATATCATAAGACAAAGACAATGTCAGTGTGATTTTCAACTTAACCAATGCAAATAAAATTTGTCTTGTGCTTTTCAAGGATGATTTTTACTTTAAGAATCATTTTCTTCAGATAATGTAGATATTCGTATCGTAGATATTCTTATCGAATATTCTTTGTAGATATTCTTATCGAATTTATGGATAATATTTTACTCGATAACAAAATTCTTGTCATGTTTTCTTTCTTTAGGTACATGCGCTGATGACTAAACGTCTTTTATAACAATTTTGAAAATGATTTTTTTTAACTACGAAAAGAAAAGATTACAGTATTGACGAAATAAGAAATCATATATGTACTGTAGTGCTCCATTAGTAAAATGCACGTGTAACATGAACCCAAATGTCCATTAAGCCCGAAAAATGATTTATTTTATTGTTGTTGAAATTTCGGTATCTATTTTCGAAATAAGTACTTATTTGACATATAATTGAATCCTCTTTTGTCTCTAAAGCATTTTGGAAATTTCTGTAGATAAAGTGATTTAGTATTTTGGACGGAAACAACTTCGTTTACAGATGAAAAGCATTTGAATTGCACTAAATATATTAATACAACACAAAACACACGTTTGCCTTTTCTAAAGTAGAATGTACGATTTCATTTCTGACTTAAACAAGATAACAAGAAAAAAATATAATTTAAGCTTTTATTTCAGTCAAAAGATAAAGAAGTTTACATAGGCGGTGCCTATGACAACGGAACCTATGTTTCTGATGATTCTAGACAAGGTCAAGGTGACAGGTACCCTAAATCAAACACTGGTTCATCTGTCGAAGATCCTCAGTTTGGAACATTTCGGCCGAGGTAAGACCAATTGAAGAATCTTTCAAGATAAAATGATAGTTTATCTGTAAACGTAATTTATTAAAACCTGCACTCTTATGAAGTTCCAAAACAATGCAAAATGTATGGTGGCTGATTTGGTACTGTTTGCGCGTTGCGTTGTCGATAGCGACAAAACAACCTATATCGTTATCGCCTTTTCGTCTTGTTGCTAGCTAAACTCGCCAAACGGCGCTTTGTCGCACGACCGCCTTGTCGTCCTGTCGCTAGCAAAGCACGCCAAACGGCGCGTTGTTGTGCGGCGCGTTGTCGCGATGTCGCCCTAACGCTAGGCTTATATGTCAATCCTTCGATTTGACCCGAACGACAATGTGACATCGCGACAACACGCCACAAGACAACGCGCCGTTTGGCGTGCATCGTTAGAGACAGGACGACAAGACGAAAGTACGACAACGTGCCGTTTAGCGCTTTGTCGTGATGTCGCTAGCGACAACACGACGCACAAAAGCGTTCCAAATTAGCCACCATAAAAATGGTATATATAAGTGTTATAAGTAGACTGTGTCGCTGCTTTCAAGGAATAATTTGTATCCCCCGTCATCATCATCATCATCATCATCATCACCATCAACATCATCATCATCATCAATTATTACAATTATTTTTAGTAATAATCAATTTTTTTATTAATAGTTCAGAGACTGGTGACAACAAATATTCCAATACGTCATCGTCAAAACGTACATGTATAGTGATAACCGTACTCATAGTGGCACTGATTGTCGTCATCGCAGCCGCCGGTGCTGTCATTGCTGTAATATTACTCCGAGACACAGGTTAGTGCACGTTATTGTGTATACCATTTCTACTGTGTAAAGTCCAGATGTAATGAACCAATTTGGACTTTTATATGATAAGTCGATGATGGAACTCCCTTCTCCAACAAGTAATAATTTTAGCAGTGCATATTCTATGTTGATAATCAAAACCTCTCGAAACTAGACTGATCTAGATGAAGTTTACATTGGATAAGGAAGATTAAGAAAAAATGGTTTTAAAATGTTTAGGATATCATGTCTTCAGCACGAGGTTTCTATGAACTTAAAATGTTTTGCAACTATAAACAAATATAAATTTGCAATTTTATAAAAATTCGTCATCATATAGGATTTATTATTATGACTATATTCAATGAGTGTTCAATATTTCAATTCCACGCCATTTTCTATATCATTTAGTCAAATTACAAATTTCTTTCTAATGATTTTGTTTTCAGATGAAAGTTTCTCAGAATCGAAAACTATGGAAAGAATAGGTAAATGATGTTGAGAGGAACTTACCTACGAAAGACCGCTGTTGACATTTCAACTTCTTAAAATGTTAAATTAAACTTCGTGATTTCACGATTCAACTTCACGAATTTGTGAAGTTGTAATTGTGAATTCATAAAGTTGAATTCGTGAATACGTGAAGTTTAAATCGTGAAATCATGAAGTTAAAATCGTGAATTCATGACGCTAAAATCGTGAATTTGTGAATTCCACATGTTGAAAAAATGAATTCAGGAAGTTATAATTGTGAATTCACGAATATGAAATCAGAAATTCGTGAAGTTGAAATGTCCTCATCGGTCTTTCGTACTTACCTCATTGAATACTTTACTTATAGTGATTCTGAAATAATTGTAAAATAATTATAGCTTCTTTATAGCATCAAGGTAAATATGTTTTATTATATGCTTTAACAAATTTCATTGGTCATTAAATACAAAACAGCAAATATGTACTCGTCATGTAGTTTCAATGTTTCTTCTTTAATGTTTGTTTTCATTCTACTCATTAAGGTTTTCTTGTTTAATTTTGAAGTGTATAAAGTTAAAAAGGGGCAAACAATCATTTTATAGTCATGTCATTTTGTTGAAAAAATACATGTTTTTCAATCTCATGAAAATCAGACCATCGATCAGCTACCTGGCGAAGAGTAACTGAGCGACAGATAGGATTATGATTGTAATGAGATTGCATGTTTGTAAAACTCAAGGCATAAAATACGCAGTTTGAAAATTAACATTAAATTCTAATAATAACGTGAATACTGTGTTTCAGAAGTAACAAATTAATATATTTTTTTATATGTTCAATTTTACATGATTAAAACAAAAAGCGTTTTTTGAGATATTTCTTTTATTCTAGTCCAGAAAACCGTCAAGGGAGAAGCCACTATAAATACTAAGAACTGGACAGATACATATGAAGACAAAAATTCAGTTGCATATAAAACCTTAGAGTTAGAGTTTATTGACATGGTATGTATAAATTCATCTTTTTTATCAAATATAAATCTAAAGAAAATGCAGAACCAACCATACTTTATTTCATTGAAAATAAGTATGAATTTGAACTTATAATAAAATTGTCAGTTACCCTTAACACCTGTTCAATGCTATATTTTGACAACATTTTTTACCGCGTTAAAACAATATATTTCAATCTTATTTTAAATACTTAATTTGATCAAATAATTTACATTTCTTTAATATCTATAATGCACACATCAAAAACATGTTTCAAATTCATATTTTTAATTATTTGATTTCTGATATGTTTTTCTTTGAATAATGTAGGTTGATAAAAAGTTACTTGAAAGTTCACTGGCGGACAAGTACAACAGAACTATTGTAATAAATATGAGGTAAATACACGCCTTATTCCTTTAATAAACATTTAAGCCTTACATAGCTAAATGTCTTAAATGAACTTGTCCATCTTTCAATCTCCACAAAATCATTGGGAAAATTTCAAAATATTTACTGACTGAAAAGCAAACAGTGCAGACCATGCTCAGATGGCACGAATATGTCGGCTGATATTTGCCTGCACTGGTCGCATATGCCGTCAGCTGTCAAACTGTTATATAAGTTAGTGATTGAATTATCAAACTAATTATAAGTTGTGTTTTTTTTTAATTAATAGAGCAATTCCATTAAATCTTTTATCATATCTAATTATCTTGCTATTAGATATATTTGTACAAGTTTCAAGTGTCCTTTATTAAATTTATTCTTTCCCGATTTCTATTTTCCAAAAACTACATGCAGTTGTATTTTTGATAATAGTGTAAAGACTTGATTGTTTTTGCACTTTCTATAACAATCCATTTATAAAAAATATTTTTATAATGTGAATAAATATCATTTTCGATTTCTTCTTTTCAAGAGAAGGGAGTTTCATCATCGAATTCGAATCTCTGTTTATCACAGCACTAAAGATAATGATAGCAGACGGTGACAGTCTGGACAGAACAACCCTAAGACCCAGTGACGGAAGAGGTGATGACCCGGACTTCAACCTGAATGTCGATGTCGATAGATTCCAAAAGCTCATTAAAGAAATCTCACAAATTGACGATGCCGTTGTTTCAGGTAAAATTTGTTCATTCAGCTGGTGTGACGTAACTCACCCCCTGAAAAAATCGCAAAAAAGAAAAATATAGAAAAAAAGAGACTAGAGTAAAACAAGTGAAAAAACATTGTCTTTTGGTCTTAGTTAAATTGATATGTTTTTTAACATTTGAAGACTTTTTTTGATGTTGGTGTTCTACTACAGTTTCTGAAACGTTACTTACTGGCTCTTGATATCTAAACCACCATTTGCTTCTTGGTCATTGTTGAAGTTACAGTGATTTAATATATCATGTGGTAATAATTTCACACTCGAAACAGCTTCAGCAGTTTAAAACTACATTTGAATTTAAGAAACATTCATTATGTCTGTTATAATTATATTAAGACGTATAAGCAAAATATAAGTAAGCAAATTTTCCTTTCTACAGATGCAGTTTGTTGTATGTATTGTACTCGTATTGGCGAGAGCATAGCTAGCCAAAATGTCATTCTAAAAACAAAATGAGATTTAAAATCATATTACAATATGGTTTATCATAAAGTGTAGACGCGAGTGTTTTTTACAAATACAATCTTTATTTTTTTTTTAAATTTGTAAAAGGTACTTAAAATTATTCATAGTAACAAGAATCATAATAAGTATAATTCAGATTTAATTCACAGATTATGATGAATGCATGTCAAATCCATGTAAGAATGGAGGCACGTGCTACGACGGCGTGAATAAATTTACTTGCACGTGTACGGCAAGTTACACAGGAGTTACTTGTGAAGATGGTATATTTTAGTTATCTTATGGGAAATGTATTGTATTTTATTGAACGTTTAGATAAAATGAATATTTGAAGGTCACTTTTGTTGCATTCTTCTGTTTTCTATTTTGTCACATACATAATGTTCAATCATCGCATATAATTTCATTATTAATAGTTAAATCCTATTTCATTTTTGGAATTTTTTCACCTTTCACTCTTGAACAACATCATTGGTACGATCGTTGTGTAGCATACCATGTACAGTCTTATATTTATGAATATTAAAAAAATAAGATAAAATTGTCGTTTTTGTAATCTTGCCTGGCATTGTCAAATTTCATCTCCATTATATATAAAACACAAAATTTATTTTAGATCAAGAAAATTGCCAAAGTAACCCCTGTTATAATAACGGCACTTGTATAGATGGAATTAATGACTTCACGTGTAAATGTTTGCCCGGATATACAGGAAAAGACTGTTCGGAAGGTAATTGTACTGTGTACTGTCATGCGATAATTTTAATATATATTTGAAAATCAGCCAGATTGCAAATGAATAGCAAAATTATAGATAACAGATACTTTAACAAGTTTTGTATGTTCGATTAAAACCGTTCTCGGGCGGACTTTGCCCGTAGTTACGGCGGTTATTATTCTATTGGGGTCACCAACATTTGAAAGTCACACCGGCACATGAAACTTATTTGGGTTTTCCTTACAGAAAATATTTTTGGTCTTATGGCCTCTAACATTTTCTGTAAGAAAAAAACCCGATGTCACTCCAGGCTTTGATATTTCCAAATAACAATCGTGTCGCTATACTATAACTATAACACAGTAATGTAGATAAACATTACTACATTGCAGATTACAGAACATGTTATTTTATGTCTTAATTTACTCAGGCGAATGGAATTCATTAAAAACTTAAGTCTGACTAAAGATAAAAATGTTTATTTGAACATTCTTAAGATCGTCTATAAGTTGACCTTACGTCCTAGGACTTATGACACACAAAAGACTTTCTATGATGACCTTATTAAAAAGAGCAAAAAAAAACGCTTTTATTCAATGAATATTTTTACTTCATCAGATATTGATGAGTGTGAAGGTAAATTTTGTGGCCATGGTAACTGTGTTGATGAAGTGAATAGTTATTCTTGTCTATGTGAAGATGGCTGGATGGGACAATATTGTGATGAGGGTAATGTTATTATTATGTTGATTTATAGAATTATTGTTATATTCTAAACGAGCTATTTTTAGAAAGAATTCAATGGTCGAGGTACATGAAACTGTATCTTACCTCGTTGGTTTAGGAATTGTGATGTATTACTAGTATTGTACAATCTTTTTGTGTTTAAAAAAACAAAACAGTTTGACTTCGTGAACTTGTCTTACAGACAAAAGAGAGTTCAGCACTGAAAACACATTTAAGAATTAGGGTTCATGTCAAAATATTGAAGGTTTAATGAAATTTACACGCGAGAGTATTTAAAAAAAACAATCTTTAGTTTTTTAGTTCTTATCGGTACTGTAAATTATTCACAGTAATAATAATAGACATAATAAGTATAATTTAATCACTGAATCCAATTTTAATTCACAGATTATGATGAATGCATGTCAGATCCATGTAAGAATGGAGGCACGTGCTACGACGGCGTGAATAAATTTACTTGCACTTGTACGGCAGGTTACACGGGAGTTTCTTGCGAACAAGGTATATTTTAGTAAATCTTAGTGTATTTTATGGAATGGTTTAGATAAAATGAATATTTTAAGGTCACCTCTAATTTTGTCACATACATAATGTTCAATCATTTCGTATACGTTTATAATAACTTGATTAATTGTTTTTCATTTTTGGTTATTTTTTCTTGTTTCACTCTTGAACGCTATCAGTGTGTAAAAATCTTTTATTAAAAATTGAAAATAAGATGAAATTAGCCCTTTTGTAATAATTTCTGATAAGGTCAAATTAAAAAAAAAATGTATATAAAACACAAAATTGATTTTAGATGAAGAAATTTGTCAATGCAACCCCTGTCATAATGGCGGTACTTGCCAAGATGGGATCAATGGCTTCACGTGTAAATGTTTGCCCGGATATACAGGAAAAGACTGTTCGGAAGGTAATTGTACTGTGTACTGTCATGTGGTGATTTTAATATTTGAAAATCAACCAGTTTGCAAAGAATAGCAAAATTATGGGTAACAGATACTTCAATATGTTACATAACTTCCTTGACTTACTTAGATTTTGTATGCTCAATTCAAACCGTTCTCAGGCGGACTTTGCCCGAAGTTACGGCGGTTATTATTCTACTAGGGTCACCAGCATATGATAGTCACACTTCGGGTTTTCCCTACAGAAAATGTTCTAGGTCTTATGGCCTTGATCAATTTCTGTAAGAAAAGACCCTCGATGTCACCCCAGGTTATGATATTTCCACATGACAGTCTTTTCGCTATTCTATAACTTCAACACAGTAATGCAGATGAACATTACCACACTGCAGATTAAAGAATATGTTATTTTATATCTCAGGCAAATGAATTTACTTTAAAAAAATTCGAACGTTCTATAAGTTAGTCTTTATGTTGACCTTACGTCCTAGGACTTATGACACACCTAAGAACTTCTATGATGACCTTATGCAAAACGCTTTTATTCAATGTATATTTAATTTTACTTTATCAGATATTGATGATTGTGAAGATAATTTCTGTGGCCATGGTAACTGTGTTGATGAAGTGAATAGTTATTCTTGTCTTTGTGAAGATGGCTGGATGGGACAATATTGTGATGAGGGTAATGTTATTATTATGTTGATGTATAGAATTATTTTGATATTATGAACGACCTTGTTTTAGAAAGATTGTCAATTGTCGAGTTCAATGAAACCATTTCTTACCTCGTTGGTTTAAGAATTGGGATGTATTACTAGTAGTGTATAATTTTTTGTGTTTCTTTTTATTAACTGTTTGAATTTGTGAATTTACTTTACAGATTTCAATGAGTGCAGATCTGAAAACCCATGCAAGAATTGGGCTACATGTCAAAATATTGAAGGTTCATATTTGTGTATTTGCAAATCTGGCTGGGCGGGTCAGAACTGTGATATAAGTAAGTGCTTATAAGTTTTATATTACAGAGTTTTGTTCTTTTCTATATGGCTACTTTCATCTCCATTTTCATATGTTTTACAGAATGAATATCACAGTCGTTTGGGACTTTAAATTTTCTAATTTTTTACCAATTTTTTTTTATTTTTAGAGTTTAAAAAATAATTTCATACAATCGACCTTTTATGACACAGGCTATTCTTCTGCATTTTTAGCAAATTAGTAAATTTTAAATTTAAAATGATTTATAACTTAAACCACACTGGTGTACTAAAACATTTTAAGGTTGAAAAAGGGTTTTAACTTTTATAAATACAGAGGGGATTTACACTGTTCCCACCTCTTAATACAGACACGTAATTTTTTGTTAAAGAAATGAAAAAACCCCTTTTTTATTTCCATTTTTTTTACATTAAATTATTTTTCCTAAAAAAAAACATCTGTTTTAATTATGATGTATATTTCCCAAAAAAATGAATGTCGGTTTTACAATCCCCATGCAAAAAGGGGAAAGTTTGATACATTGGGGAATTACACTTGGTTTTTCCCCGGGGCTGGGGGGAAAAAATGTAAATCGGGAACAAAAAAAAATCCTTCCCCTATGTTTTTAAAAGACAATTTTTTTTTATTTATCTTTGAACTTGTTTTATTTCAATGCTATTTCAATGCAAACATAGAAATTATGAATTTTTAGATTTGTATTAAGGCACGACCGATTTTCTTATTTATATTTTTAAACTTGAAATCCCCTTTTTTAAAAAATTTTTCATTGACATTATTAGTTTATGATTTTTTAACAAACAATGCATGCATAAAAAAGGGTATGGTTCTGAGTTTTTTAGTAGTAAATCCAGAAAAGGGAAAAATTTCGCGGTTTTTATATAATTTGTAAAAACCCATTTGAATAAAATTTATTTCAATAAGTAATGCTTTATTTTAAAGAATTTGCTACAAACTCAAATTATAGATGTATATAAAAATGACTATATGGTACGTGGAGTAACAAAATGCTGTCCTCACAACACGTACGCAATCATCAAATTGAATAACCTTTATTTTCTTCAGATAAAACTGTAACAACAATAACAAGAGATACGAGTACAACATCATCCACCGTGACTACAGCTAAGCCGACTTATAAAACTACCATGACTACAACTAAGCCGACTTATACAACTTCTACCCAAGATTGTCACACAGGTATCATCTCAAGTTCTTATATTCGCTTGCATCATATCATTGTATAATTGCTAGCCGAATTTATGTATTTTGATCTTAAATTTCCTTCATTAATAAATGAGCTGTTCCAAATTCAAAACAACTCGAATTTATTTTGCAATATCAACCTGTCTGTTATAATTAGAGCCAAGGGAACACATTGCCTTATGTTTAAAATCTTAGCCATTTGAGCAATACAATTTGTTTGTTGCTGTTACATTTACTTCTTTTTTTCTGTCTGTCTCAATGTACCCAGAGGGACGTCCGTGGCCGAGTGGTTACGGTTGTTGACTTCAAACCACTTGCCCCTCACTGCTGTAGATTTGAATCTCAACAGGGACTTTGGACTCTTTCATGTGAAGAAGCTATCCAGCTAACTAACGAAACGTTGGTGGTTCTCCTCCTCTGTCCGTTCGTGCCTGAAATAATGCACAGAAGGGCACCTGAGGTCTTTCTTCACCAGTAAAGCTAGACAGTTGCAATATGACATATGCTGTGTTGGCGCGTAAAATCGTACAACAACAACAACAACAATAATATCTCAATGATCCCAATATGTTTAAATATACTGAGATTGTTGTTATTACTAATTTAAATATGTTTCAGCTGACAAGTTTGTGTATCAGATTGATGGAGTTATTCTTCTACCCTATGATAACAATCTGAATGAATATGATTCACCTCAATCTAAAGAACTTGGTGATAGGCTGATAGGTTCAGTAAGTATTTCAATGTTCTAAAACAATATTAGTTATATATGATTGTACTTACTCAAATGACGCTTTTATAGATAGTTGGCAATGTGTAACGACGGTTCTGCCCCATTTGAAATTTTAATATAGAACTGCTAAATGATTTTACCTAACTATTTCTGGACTTTACGTGAAAGTGTCATATTGAAGGGTATTTTATCACAAACGTATAAACACAGGTTCTATTTCTGAATTAACTATTCTCATATTTGATTGTTAAAGTCTGCTTAAAACGGTGCTACGGGGTATGCACTTACTTCTACTGAAACACGAATCTGTAACCTTATTCATTTTGCCTTCTTATGCAACCTGTAAAATCACAATTTTAATATCCAATAATTTAATCTATTTATGCATTGTTATGCGATTTCCATTTTTATTTTGTAGCTATTTCTATAACTCATATGAAATATTCTGTTTCTAGCTGCGCAATGCAACTAACTTGTATGGTTTAACAGTCTGTGAATTGAATCTAAAAGGGTTGTAAGTATAATGAGATATCAACTTGTAAGAAATGTTGAATGACAAAATTTTTACATTATTTAATCATATTGGGACGCAGTTTTTATTTAGTAATATGCAGTTTGAAAAAGTTTGAAATTGCTGGAAATACTATTATTTATAAAGAAGTTGGACCTAAAATAATAATTACCTTGTACTTATGTTAAACATTGTCTGTATGAATTAAATACGTAACGGGCTTTTCTTCTTTTGATCTCGTAAATGCAAACTGTCCCTGGTGAATTTTAAAGATTTAGATATCAATATAAATACTGAAGAGCAATTAACAGTGAGACCCATGTATCAACAGTGTAGACCCATGTAAGAATGTACGATATGAAGGCAAAGTGGTTGTATGACAGTCCTTTTCGTCACAAGCTCACCAGAATTTTTAGCTTTTCTACCAAGGCTTTTATCTGGAAATACATTTTCAATGATTCATGATCTATTGTATCAAAATACACATTTTCTATATACTTTTTATGTTCACAGTCCGGGCATTCCGTCTCAGAGTTTGTGTTTAATCTTTAAACATCCATCAGAACGATAGTGCCATATTAATCATGATATAATAAGCCGAATGAATATTGGTTAAGAAACACCTCCTGCATTATATAGAAATATTTATATTCTACTCTGCTTGAACACAATATCTTTTCTCACTGTTGATCACAATAGCTACCGGTTTTTATTTGTTTGGGTCGTCAGACCAAACAAATAATGGTAGCGAAATTTCAGACTCTAATGCTGTTAATTGCAAGTGCCGAAAGTAGTCCGCTTTTTTGAAGCGGTTACTTCCCTTTATATGTAACACTTAGGCCGAAAAATTTAGGGGAGATCACTGCGTAAATATGGTCACATGACAGGCGGATTAATTTTCAAGCAAAATAATTCTCGAATGGTCGAAGATTTCAAATATTGTTTTATTCTTTATAAATATACATGCTTATAGTAAGCGCTATGATTATTTACACAAGTTAGCGTCGTTACAAACCCTAAATAGAATACTATGGTTTTCTTCAGGCCATTAATATATAAATTCACCGTAGCCGAAGGGTTTGCGCGCTCGCTTAGAAAACGAGGGGTCTGGAGTTCAAATCCCAATTACGGCTACTTTTTTTTCAAATTGTTTAAGTCAAATAAACATTGGATCAAATATATCAGTGTTGCAATTAGTCTTATAGCCAATCTACTACAATTAAAACGCTGGAAAGCATTTGTGGCACTTTACAAAAACAAATTGTTTTATAATCTCACAACCTACCCCTTTCTGACATTCTGAGACCCAAACAAATTCAGCGCCTTCTGTGCTTTGATTATCTTCAGTTTTGAAACTGAGAAAGGTAACCACGTGTCTTCAGAAATGCCGGCAATACTACCTACGTTACTATTTGGTTCAGATCTTAGGCTTGCATTCATATGTTTCGAATTATTAATATTACATTCAAGACATTTAATTTGCAAAAAAAATTGCAAAGGAATTTGGAACGAAACGTTTTAGGTTAAACGTTTAACTACTAATGAATCTTAAAATGTTAATTTCAGCTATCCGGTAGACCAATCTTCAATACCTTCTCCACTTAACACCGATAAGAAGACAGGCTTTACAGTCACCCTGATGTTATTTTCCTCCATACGAGAGCAAGATGTTATATATTTATTCAGTCTTTTTATGTCCGATCAATTTATTTTTACGTCCATGATCGGTAAATTGTTCTATTATATTTATTTTATTTACTTTAATTAATAATTCTTACCTTCTTTAACTTACCTCTTTTACCATCAATGATTTCTTTTTAAATTAGTTGCAAGACTTATTAGAATCACAAGGGTGCTAATGTACATCATGGTAAATTGTGCACAATACTTGTGTTTATTTTGTTCTGAAATATTCATGTATTTATTTATATACTCGTTCCTGATTGTACCTTATTTAAGTCATCAGCATTTTTTCCGACTTAATCTAATGTGCTCGATAATTTCTATTAACAATTCGATTTTTGAATCAATTTTATCCAAAATACATTTATATGCTTTTATTATTCCTCCTGCGGATGTGTTTTTATTCTGTTACTTTGAGATTTTTACTGCTTTTTATTTTCTAGATTTTCAAAGTAGCGAAACATCAACATATCCAACTACCGCAACAACTAGCTGTAAGTATTGTTAGCAAAATTAAATATGTGTTTTCATGCGAGTATTGCTTACTATTTAATATTTAATCTCCTAGTTTCTTTAATTTTAAGTTAATCTTGTCATTAAATCTATTTTCGACCCATCTAATAATGTAAATTATTGGGCAAATTTTGTTTATTTTCCTCAAAATACCAATACCCAAATAGCCGTAAGCATTGAAGGTTGGACACATATTGATGACTTTTTAATTTCATGTTCGTCTTGCTTTTTCAGATTTCCAAGGGTTACATGTAACCCAAAAACACATTAAGCCCACCCCTTACTCTAACCCGGTTTGATACCGATTCATGAATAAACATTCATAACTGTCATGTAATCCATATACATGCATATGAAATTCAAACCGTCGGAAACGGGGCTATTTAAAAACGTTTGATAAAATCAGAAAATAATGTCGAAATACCGTGTAAAGACTTGCGTATTTTTAGGGCAATGAATTGTGTAGTAAGACATAAAACGCTATATTTAAATTAAAAAGTGTCCAAACATGAAATAATAATAATAAGCATTGTTTCTATTACAATGTTATTCATTTGAGTTCAATACGAACAGACTCTAAATGATTAATTAGAAAAATATACGAAAATCTTGATACAGAACTACACGGTGCTTATATGTATTTACAATTTTTGCATATTAGATATTTCAGATTTTCTAGAATGATCATTCCGTTTTTTGTCCTTTTAGCATTTGTGACCTATTCATTTAATATGACATATGTGGAAGTGTTCACTGAGGAATTATTGAACCCTGCATCGGAAGCTTTCAGGAACCTCAACCAAACATTATCTGGCCTTGTGAGTATTATAGTTTGTTTGGTAATAGTAATGAATATTTTTGTAATACGATGTTGTCTTTTATTCGTGGTGTTGCTGATGACGCCAAAGGTGGTGATGATGCTGATCATGTTGAGGGTGGGGGTGATGATGAAAGATGATTTATGATTTGCAAATTTGAAGGTTTGGTTTCCCTAGTTTTTTTGACCGGGAAAAAACACCTTTCTGGGACTGGCCCCGTTGCCAAATTTGACCCATAAAAAAAATTTGGTTTTTTGACGATGATTTTTATAAACCTAGCGTTTTAATAATGGGTAAGTTTTTTTCTATTTTCAAAACCAAACATAATGAATTTTTAAAAAGGGGGATTTGGGAAAATTTTTGAAAGTTGTTTTAAATTTTTACAATTTTAAAAAAGGGGTAAAGGTAAAAAGTTTTAAATTTAAAAAGTCCTAAATTTTGGCCCTTTTTGGGCAATTTTTAATGGATGGTTTTTTAAAATACAAAATGCAAATTTATCGGGCCCCAAAATTTAAAAAATCAAAGGGGGAAATAATTCAAATGCAGAAACTAGTCAAACGTTGTTTAATAAAATTTTTTTTGGATACCCAAAAAATCCTACTGTTCTCAAAATTTAAACATCGTAGTAGTTTCGATAAGATGCGGGAAAGTGCGGCTACACTAACTCTGGGATGGAATTTGGCTTTGGCTTTAATAAATTATTTTGTTATTGGCAACATTTAATGTTACATAGGTAGATAACTTTATAATATGAATTTCATATTTTTTATTCAAGTTCTTGGAAGCTGTAAAGGACCGAAAGCGAATGAGTATCAGTGGGGTTTGGGTTTTCAATTAGTATTTAAATCAAAATGTAAGGAAAAATTTTTAAAGAATAACGCAACCTATTTCTTCTTTCATATTCTATACTAGTATTCATTTTCTGTAAAATATAAAAACAAAGTCATAAAATTAATGTATAACTTATGTTGTTACCTTTAAACTTATTGTTGTTTTTTTCATGTTGATTTTATTTTTTCTTCTTCTTATTTTGTAGTTGTTTTAGATATTCATATTTTAATCCGAAACATAATTCTTAAATGTTTTACATTCTGTAACTAAAGCGTCCCGACTTATTTTGACTACCCAAACCGGAATGATCTGTTCATCAGTGCTGAGGTGCTTATCTCAGTCCCAGCCAACACAATCACTATCCATGAAACAGCGTACTACTTCTCTCAGGCTGCTCTTCGATCGGGCATCTTGTTTTTGATATCCTTTAAAGGTACGTATCATTGTTCTTGTATAAATTTATACTGTTATCTGGGATAACCCCAAATGTGCTTAATTCCAGAGTTAGTCTTAACACATCTGACTGCGAACATCTCGCGAATTTTACCGAAAATTTATTGAATATGAATATATCATGTGCATTGACCGTATGTATAATCAGTATGCAATTGTATGTTTTTTGTAGTGCAATAAAAATATAAAACGTTAGTTCTTTTATCGTTTATTTATAATATTAATTACATATATAATTTACAAATAGTAAAACATACGTAAATTACTAAAAGATATGAGGTGTTCGTTTTTTTATGTTGTTTCCTTTCTTTGTATAAAAAGTGTTTTGTTTTTAGTATATTCCAACCGACCAATAACCCCTGTAATATCATCAACATCAACAAGTACAACAACAATATCTACAATAACAACAGCCCAACAGAGCAACAGTGAGTATATATGAAATCAAGTATGAATATGGTGGCTGATTTGTGCCATTCGTGTTTTCGCCCCGCGACCACGCAAAGCGATGAGTCGAAAATTAACAAGTTAAAATGGCATTTATTTATCTATTTATTTACATGTACATTGTACTTATTTATTTATTTAGACCAGTCAGGTCAAATAAGTGTGTGAAATAATTTTATTTTTCTGTCATATTTTATAAATTCTTTTTAACAAAGTGAATGCATGCATACCAATGTATGATTGCTCTGAGTACTAGTAGTCAATCCTAGCATAAGGTAAAATATTGTCCAAGACGTGTGTCATATACGTTTGAAACACTCTAATATTGAATAAGCTCATTTCAAAAATGTTTTATTTTTTGATACAATGAATTTGCTACAAACTGTAACATGCGTATGGAAAATCACTATTTTGTATATGAAATTACGTAATGATGTCATCATAACACGCAGTCTTTAAGCTGAATAATCACCATTGGCTTCAGATAAAACTGTAACAACCAATACAAGAGATACGAGTACAACATCCTCCACCATGACTACAGCTAAGCCGACTTATAAAACTACTACACAAGATTGTCACACAGGTATCATCTCAAGTTCTTATATATGCTTGCATTATATCATTGTATAATTGGTAGCTGAATTTTTGTATTTTTATCTTAAATTTCCTTCATTTCCAAATGAAATGTTTCAAATTCAAAGCAGCTCGAATATATTACGCAATATCAACATGTTATTTACATTAAACACAAAGTTTCAAATACTGTATAGAGTGTTTTAATAAGAGGCGATGAAACAAATTTCCTTACGCTTAAAACCTTAGCCATTTGAGGAATAAAATGTGTTTGTTGCTGTTGCATTTACTTCTTTCCTGTCTGACTCAATGTAGCCTGAGGGAAGTCCGTGGCCGGTTGTTGACTTCAAACCATTTGCCCCTCAGTACTGTAGATTTGAATCTCGACAGGATCTTGGACTCTTTTATGTGTAGAAGCTATCTAGCTAACTTACGGAACGTTGGTGGTTCTACTCCTCTACCCGTTCGTGCGGAAGGGCACTTGAGGTCTTCCTCCACCAGTAAAGCTAGACAGTTGCAATATGACATATGCTGTGTTGGCGCAAAGTAAAATCCAACAACAACAACAATATCTCAATGATCCCAATATGTTTAAATATACTGAGATTGTTGTTATTACTAATTTAAATATGTTTCAGCTGACAAGTTTGTGTATCAGATTGATGGAGTTATTCTTCTACCCTATGATAACAATCTGAACGAATATGATTCACCTCAATCTAAAGAACTTGGTGATAGGCTGATAGGTTCAGTAAGTATTACGATGTACTAAAATAATATAAGTCATATATGATTGTACATACTCAAATGACGTTATTATAGATAGTTCTCAATGTGTAACGACGGTTCTGCCCTATCTGGATATTTAATATAGAACTGCTTAATGATGTTACTAACTGGAATTTACTTGAAAGTGTTATATTGAAGTTTATTTTATCACAAACATATAAACACAGCTTCTAATTTCTGAATTATTTTTTCTCATATTTGATTGTTAAAGTCTGCTTAAAACGGTGCTACGGGGTATGCGCTTACTCTTACTCTAAGACGAATCCGTAACCTTATTTATTTTGCCTTCTTATGCAACCTGTAAAATCACAATTTTAATATCCAATAATTTAATCTATTTATGCATTTTTATGCGATTTCCATTTTTATTTTGTAACTATTTCTATAACTCATATGAAATATTCTATTTCTAGCTGCGCAATGCAACTAACCTGTATGGTTTAACAGTCTGTGAATTGAATCTAAAAGGGTTGTAAGTATACTGAGATATAAACTTGTAAAGAATATTGAGTAAAAAAACCGATCATTTCTTCATATTGAGACACAGTTTTTTATTCAATAATATGCAGTTTGAAAAAGTTTGAAATTGCTGAAAATAATATCATTTACAAAGCTCTGGGACTTAAAAATGACAATTAGCTTGTATTCATTTTAAACACTGTCTTTATGAATTCAATGCGTTATGGACGTCTATGGTCTTCCATTGAGTTTGCAAATGCAAACTGTCTCTGGTGAATTTTGAAGATTTCGATATCACGAACACATTACCATTAAAAGCTTTTCTTCCAAAGCCTGAGAAAACAATTTCTTTTGTCATAAAATACATATTCAATGATTCAAGACCTATGTTATGAAATACCACATTTTTTCTAAATATTCAACGTCCGGACAATTACTGCTAGCTCAGAGTTTGTGTTTAATTATTGTACCTACGTTTCTGTTTGTTTCAGATCTAAAGCCTGCATTCACATGTTTCAAATTATTAATATAACATTCAAGACATTTAATTTGTTACAAAATTTGCCTAGAAATTAATTTGAAATGAAACGTTTTAGGTTAAACGTTTAACTACTAATGAATTTAAAATGTTTATTTCAGCTATCCGGTAGACCAATCTTCAATACCTTCTCCACTAAACACCGATAAGAAGACAGGCTTTACAGTCGCTCTCATATTATTTTCCTCCATACGAGAGCAAGATGTTATATATTTATTCAGTCTTTTTATGTCCGATCAATTTATTTTTACGTCCATGATCGGTAAATTGTTTTATTATATTTATTTTATTTACTGTAATTAATAATTTGTGCCTTCTTGTACTTGCCGGTTTAACCATCAATTATTTCTTTTTAAATTAGTTGCAGGACTAAGAATCACAAAGGTACTAATGTACATCATGGTTAACTGTTCACACTACTTGTGTTTATTTTGTTCTGAAATATCCATGTATTTATTTATAAACTCGATCCTGATTGTACCTTATTTAAGTCATCAGCATTTTTTCCGACTTAATCTAATGTGCTCGATAATTTCTATTTACAATCCGATTTTTGAATCAGTTTTATCCAAAGTACATTTATATGCTTTTTATGCTCCCCGAAAAATTTCGGGGGAGCATATAGTCGGCGCCTTGTCCGTCTGTCCGTCTGTCCGTCCGTCCGTCTGTCCGTCTGTCCGTCCGTTGTCTTGTCCGGAGCATAACTTGAAAACCCTTGGAGATAATTTGTTGAAACTTCATACAGTGGTAGAGGGCATCGAGGGGGAGTGCAGTGTCAAAGAACCATAACTCTATTTTGCCCGGTTTTTGAATTATCTCCCTTATAGAAAAATCTTGTCCGGGGCATAACTCTAAAACTATAAGAGATATCAACATGAAACTTTGTAGGTGAATAGATCTCAATGGGTAGATGTGCAGTGCATAAGAACAATAACTCTTTTTGTCCTAATTTTGGAGTTATTGCCCTTTGTTAATTTTAATACTTTGAACTTTGTCCGGAGCATAACTTGAAAACCCTTGGAGATAATTTGTTGAAACTTCATACAGTGGTAGAGGCATCGAGGGGGAGTGCAGTGTCAAAGAAACCATAACTCTATTTTGCCCGGTTTTTGAATTATCTCCCCTTATAGAAAAATCTTGTCCGGGGCATAACTCTAAAACTATAAGAGATATCAACATGAAACTTTGTAGGTGAATAGATCTCAATGGGTAGATGTGCAGTGCATAAGAACAATAACTCTTTTTGTCCTAATTTTGGAGTTATTGCCCTTTGTTAATTTTAATACTTTGAACTTTGTCCGGAGCATAACTTGAAAACCCTTGGAGATAATTTGTTGAAACTTCATACAGTGGTAGAGGGCATCGAGGGAGAGTGCAGTGTCAAAGAACCATAACTCTATTTTGCCCGGTTTTTGAATTATCTCCCCTTATAGAAAAATCTTGTCCGGGGCATAACTCTAAAACTATAAGAGATATCAACATGAAACTTTGTAGGTGAATAGATTTCAATGGGTAGATGTGCAGTGCATAAGAACAATAACTCTTTTCGTCCTAATTTTGGAGTTATTGCCCTTTGTATATTTAATACTTTGAACTTTGTCCGGAACATAATTTGAAAACCCTTGGAGATAATTTGTTGAAACTTCATACAGTGGTAGAGGGGCATTGAGGGGAGTGCAGTGTCAAAGAACCATAACTCTATTTTGCCCGGTTTTTGAATTATCTCCCCTTGTAGAAAAATCTTGTCCGGGGCATAACTCTAAAACTATAAAGAGATATCAACATGAAACTTTGTAGGTGAATAGATCTCAATGGATAGATATGCAGTGCAAAAGAACCATAACTCTGTTAAGCCTTATTTTTGAATAATCTCCCCTTTTAGAAAAATCTTGTCCAGGACATAGCTGTAAAACTGTAAGAGATATCAACATGAAACTTTGTAGGTAGATAAATCTCAATGGGTAGATGTGCAGTGCACAAGAATCATAACTCTACCTTGCCTAATTCTGGAGTTATTGCCCTTTGTTTATTTTTACTTTTTGAATTGTCCAGGACATAACTCGGAAATCATAAGTGATATCATCAAGAAACTTTGTAGGTTGATAGATCACATTGATTAGAAGTGCAGTGCAAAGAACTGTAACAGCCTTGCCTAATTTTGGAATTATTGCACTTTGAACTTTTTCCACGGACATAACTCTGAAACTACAAGAGGTGTACTTTCCTGTGTCCAAAACCTATTCGGGGAGCATCACCCGGCTCAAACCGGGCTCTTGTATTATTCCTCCTGCAGATGTGTTTTTATTCTGTTACTTTGAGATTTTTTATTGCTTTTTTATTTTCTAGATTTTCAAAGTAGCGAAACATCAACATATCCAACTACCGCAACAACTAGCTGTAAGTATTGTTAGCAAAATTACATATGTGTTTTCATGCGAGTATTGCTTACTATTTAATATTCAATCTCCTAGTTTCTTTAATTTTAAGTTAATCTGGTCATTGAATCTATTTCGACCCATCTAATAATGTAAATTATGCAAATTTGTTTATTTCTCGGATACCAATACCAATGGCGAAACATTAAGGTTGACACATATGATATTTTTTAATTCATGTTCGTTTGCTTTTTTCAGATCCAAGGGGTACATGTAACCAAAACACATGTAAGCCACTCCTTACTCTACGGTTTGATACCGATTCAGTGAATACATTCATAACTGTCATGTAATCATATACATGCATATGAAATTCAAACCTCGGAAACGGGCTATTTAAAACGTTTGATAAAATCAGAAAATAATGTCGAAATACCGTGTAAAGACTTGCGTATTTTTAGCGCAATGAATTGTGTAGTTAGATTTAAATAGAAAAGTGTTCAAACATGAAATAATAATAATAATAATAAGCATTGTTTCTATTCATTCATTACAGACTCTTAATGTTTAATAAGGAAATATCCAAAATCTCGATACAGAACATCAATGTATAAAGTTACACGGTGCTTATATGTACAAATGTATTTACAATTTTTGCAAATTAGATATTTCAGTTTTTCTAGAATAATCATTCCATTTTTGTCCTTTTAGCATTTGTGACCTATTCATTTAATATGACATATGTGAAAGTGTTCACTGAAGAATTATTCAACCCTGCATCGGAAGCTTTCAGGAACCTCAACCAAACATTATCTGGCCTTGTGAGTATTATAGTTTGCTTGGTAATAGTAATGAATCTTTTGTAATACGATGTTGTTTTTGTTGGTGGTGTTGTTGATGATGATAACGATGATGATGACGACGACGACAAAGAGGGTGATATAGATGATGATGATAATGATGACGATGATGATGCTACTTCTGTTGCTCTTGACGACAGCAATCTGGTTGTTGACGATAATTGTTATAAAGTAGCATTCAATAAAGATAGTGTTTATTTCTATTTTCAAACCATCAACAAGGATATGAACATTTTTGAAAGTTGTTTTAAGACTTCACACATAAAGATAGATGATTTACTATTAAACTTTTTTTCTTTGTATGATCAGAGTTAACCTTATTTTCTTTATAACGCAGTTGCCTTTTGAGCCTGTATTTTCATTCATGTTTGCTACCTTATTGTGTCATGTTCGTACCTGGTGTTTCGATAAGATGCGCAAAGTGCGTACACTATTGGATGGAATTTGGCTGGCTTCAATATTATTTTGTTATTCACATTTATGTTACATAGGTATAACTTTTATATATGATATTCATATTTTATTCAAGTTCTTGGAGTCTGTAAGGAACGAAAGCGATGATCAGTGGGTTTGTTTCATTAGTTTAATCAAATGGTAAGAACTTATAATTAATTACGTAACCTAAGTTTTTAAGTATTTTCTATACATCTTCTTGTTTTGTTTTTTTGTTGTTGTTTTTTTTTTGAAGAATGAAAAAAATTGTCCTAAAACTAATGTGTAATTACCTTTAAAACTTACTGTAATTGTTTTTTTTTCGTTTGGTTTGTTTGTTTGTTTTTCCCCTTATTTTGTGGTTGTTTTTAAGACATATTCATATTTTAATCCGAAATAGAAGATATTGAATAAGTGTAAGTTCAATACTGAATTTATTGCACGAGTTGAATAAAATTATATTATGCGAGCCTCTGGCGAGCATAATATTATTTTATTCAACGAGTGCAATAAATTCAGTAATGAACTTACACGAATTTAATATTCTATTTATCACATACCAAAAATAAAGACCGTTTAATGTGAAATAAGAGTCATATTTCATTACGCGCCTATAGTATAACGCTAACATTTAGCGCGTCTTTACACTATGTTTGTATAACGCTAATGACGTCACGTCAAAATATATGCACGGCCGTGCAATACCATATTTACGGAGTCGCAAAATCGGCACGGGTGTGTGATAAACATAATTCTTAAATTTTTTACAATCCGTAATTAAAGCGTCCCGACGTATTTTGACTACCCCACCCGGAATGATCTATTCATCAGTGCCGAGGTGCTGGTCTCAGTCCCAGCCAACACTATCACTATCCATGAAACAGCGTACTACTTCTCTCAGGCAGCTCTTCGGTCGGGCATCTTGTTTTTGATATCCTTTAAAGGTATATTAACATTGTTCTTGTATATATTTGTACTGTTATCTACAATGATGTTATCCGGAACTCGTTAAATGTTAAAAGCTAATCCGTAGGTACAATCAAACTTTTACCGTGCACTTCCCGTCACAATAGATAAGTTAACTTGTTGCGCTTATTTTTGAAGTTGTAACTGTAAAAGTTTGTTTTAGCTGGGGAAATCCGAAATATGCTTAATTCCGGAGTTAGTCAAAACGTATCTGACTGCGAACATCTTACGAAATTTACCGAAAATTTATCGAATATTAATATTAAATGTGCATTGACCGTATGTAGAATCAGTATGCAATTCGCAGGTTAATAAAATCAAACAATATTGCATTGGTAATTCATAAGAAAAACGTAAAGTCCAACACCCGTCTAGGCGGTTTTTGCTGTTTATACACTCACTAAAATATTATTTTAAAAACATATAATATCAATTAGTGACAAAAACGATTCATTCTTTTATCGTTTATTTATAATATTAATTACATATATAATTTACAAATAGTAAAACAAACGTAAATTACAAAAAGATATGAGGTGTTCGTTTTTTTATGTTGACTCCTTTCTTTGTATAAAACGTGTTTTGTTTCTAGTATATTCCAACCGACCAATAACCCCTGTCATACCATCAACAACAACAACAACCACCACCACCACCCAACAGAGAACGGTTCCTGTCAACAGTGAGTATATATGAAATCCAGTATGAATGTATTTACTAGATTTTTATCTTCTATTTTTTCTTAAAAAGGGAGATTATATAGTTTCTTATTTAAGCTATTAAAGCCCCAAAAATATTTGTTGCCTTGGTTATGTCTTAACGTCTGTTTGTTTTCTCTGGTAATTTGTTTGTGCCAAACATTTTGTACCTCAATTTTAATTTGTACAACCCTCTGAATGAAAACATTGTACAAAGAAACATATGCTGGGTATACCATTATGAAATGTGTAGTTTTTTAATCACACCATTATGGGCTTTAGTTTTTTTTCAAGTTTTAGGTAATTCATTTTCATTTGAAGGTATATGGTATCGTTTTTGTTTGCCACACTTTTATTTGAGACAAACTAATCGAATAGGTTTTACGTTATCATTTTGTTATAAATTTCTGAAAAATTGACATAAATCATAAGATAGATTAATTTTTATGGATTGCAGATTTTAGCTATTTCTACTATAGTTCTTTGTTTTATAATTTTGATATGATTAGACTGTAGGGACAATGAATATCAATGTCTTGACGGAACAAAGTGCATACCAGCATCATATGTTTGTGACGGGTGGAAAGATTGCCCAGATAGGGAGGACGAGAGAGGCTGTGGTAGGTCTCTTATATCATAGATTCAACTTGCTCTTTATCATAGAGTTTCAATGTTTTAATATTTAATTTTATATACAGTTATTATATAAATATCATACTCAGCTGATGTGTACATGTCGCCCTGTGATTATTTAAAATTATTTTCAATGATTCACATTGCATAGGAACCATGTGAGGGTGAATATGTAATGTCACGTGCGATATTTCGATTTTGGCGACTAACACAAACAGCCAAAGCCATGTAATGTATAATAAATACTTGATCAAATTAGGATGAAGTTAATTCAACTTAATTGATTATTTGTTTAATTACTTTAAAATTGTTTAATACATCATGTTGGTTTTTTACGATGAAATCTAAAATCATGAAATGCTGATATACCTGGATAGCTTGTTTACTTGTAAAATGTATTTTTGCTATACATATTATGAAATTCCAAATCCTTAAATAGCATAGTTAGGTCACTTTAAAAATATATTTTTACAGACTGTCCTGAATCATACTGTAAATTAGACGGTGACTGTATATCAGAAGATGTTGTATGTGATGGCGTGTTTGATTGTGATGACAAAACAGATGAACAAGGGTGTCCAGTTGGTAAGATTTTCTTAATATTAGCAATAAACAAAGAGTTATTTGTAACTCTAAAACTTTGTGAAATTGTATATCAGTGATCAGTTTTTGATCGTTTGCATCTAATAAATATTTATATTTTGGTATGCTTCATATAGATTAATTGTTCATAATAACACTAGATCAAATGTGCATAAAACACTATATCAAATGTGCATAATATCACTACATTTTATGTTCATAATAACACTACATTAGATGTTCATAATAACGCTTCATTAACTGTTCATAAATAACACTACATTAAATGTTCGTAATAACACTACATTAAATGTTCATGATAATACTACATTAAATATTCATATTAACACTAAATTAAACGTTCTTAATAATGCTACATTAAATGTTCACAATAACACTACATTAAATGCTCATAATAATATTACATTAAATATTCTTAATAGTACTTCATTAAATTCATTAAATTTTCATAAATTTCAATAAATGTTCATAACACTACAATAAATGTTCATAAAAACATAACAACTAGTTCACAGCTGAATATTTTAGTAAAATATTATCATATTTATTTTACATTTTATATATACCAAGCTACTTAAGGTGCTTTTTGTAAAAATAAATGCATAAAATATAATTATATTTTTTTTTAAAAAGGCAAAAAGGAAAAAAAACGCAAAACAATAAAACACAAAATATGAAGGAAAAACGTTATATATTGTATGCATGTGTTTCAGTTTGTACTCCTGAGCAGTTTACATGCAGGTTAATCAATGAGTGTGTTGATATCAGTTTGAAATGTGATAATAAAAAAGATTGTAAGGATGGGACAGATGAATGGTTTGATTGTTCTCCTTTATCAACACCGTCCCTTCCACCAAGAGGTAAACATTCTGTTGTTCGCTTCTGATTAATGACGTTACAGTGTCAAACTAGTATAATATACAAAAATGTATTTTTTTTAAAATGATTAATTTAATTGGAATCAGACAAATGTTGCTTTTAGGGTTGTCTTGAGAATATGTTGTTTTTTTACTTTAGTTTCTAAATTTTATGTACAAAAAGAACAAATCGCACCAAAACGACCATGTCACGTGGTAATCTCCCGGGAATTTTATTAAGATTAGGGCTGTATAATACTGTAATGAAGATCTTGTACATGTACTAATTTGTACATAATCAAACCCGCTTCGGAATCAGGCAAATGTTTTTTTTCACGGTTGTCTCGAGAATATTTTTGTTGGATTTTTTACGAAGATTTCTACAGAACAAATAGCCAGTCCAAAGAACGACCATGCAATGCGCAAATCTCTTGGACACTTTACTTGGGTTAGGACTTTGGGCTTTATATTGCTGTAAAGAAAACCAACCAAACTGATGTAAAAACGAATCCGCATTGGAATCAGACAAGTATTGTTTTCAGGATTGGCTCGAAAATATTGTGTTTTTACGTAAATTTCGACAGTTTATATACAGAAATAACAAATCGCCGGTTCAAAAAACGACTATGTTACGCGGGAGTCTCACGTGGAATTTGCTTTGTTTAGGGCTTCATGTGAAAAGATCCATCAAACTTAAACAAAAACGAATCCTTATCGGAATCAGATAAATGGTGTTTTAACGGTTGGTTCAGAAAAATGGTGCTTTTGACGAGAATTTATTCACTTTATATACAAAAAATTTAAATTGCCTGTCCATGCCCGGCGGAAATCGCCCACATTTTGCTTTATTTATTTATTAAGGCTTGTGCCTGATATTTTTGTGCAGAAGAACCTCAAAACTAATCAAATTTAATGGATCATTACTTTAAATTTATTTAAGTACGGTACGTAGCGTTCATTTATTATGACCTATTATGTATGATGTAAATTCCTGTAAGAACGCATCGAAATCAGGCAAATGTTTTTTTCAAGGTCGTCTCGAAAATATTGTGAATTTTACGAAAATTTCTACAGTTTATACATGTGATAATAATTACATTAACGAATAGATGTATGTTATATTTAAATGTAATTAAAATTACAGAATATGAGATTCGTTTAATGAATGAAGGTGTTGATACCACAAGTGAGTTATATGGGCGTGTTGAGGTCCGTCTTGTGGTTGATGGTAAGCCGGTCAGTGAGTTTGGGACAATTTGTGATGACAGTTGGGATAAACGAGAAGCAACTGTATTATGTAGATACCTTGGTGCCAGGTGCGTATAAAAACCATTGAAAACAATACATGTACATTTGAGTCCAGCACATTACATAAATTATTGTTAAATTGAATTTCGCTCAAGCTGGTGCTATGGGGCATGATGAATATTGCACTTTTCATCATCCTTCATGTATTGACTCGATCAAACAGAACCAAAACATTTCACCAAATCTTCTAGTTCATTACTGGATTTATTTCTTGTATCCTGTAGCCACAAAGTAATTGCTTCGGGAGTTGGAGAGCCGATCCTTGACCAAAATCAGAGATTTCACTGCCCTATATACTCTCTATTCTCTTTCAAGAAACCACAAACCAAATCATTCCAACGACTTGTATGGCTTTACGATCAAGGAGACTATGTCTCTCTCCGAAACAGCATTAGTAACACCGAATGGAATCAGTTGAAAACAGATGACATCAATATCTATACTTCCTCATTTACAAACAAACTCCTAGAACTATCTAAATCATTCATCCCAACGAGGCAAGTAACTGTTAAGCCTAACAATTACTCCGTGGATTACAACAGAAATAAAGAAACTAATACATAAGCGCAAAAATATTACCACAGAGCCAAATACTCACAGAACTCGCACCATTGGTACAAATTTAGAGAACTCCGTAATAAAATCGTTACACTTATACGCACGGCTAAACATAACCACTTCTTACAAATGGCAGAGTCTCTCAAGTCAGACTGTACTACACAGAAGGACTGGTGGAAACTAATCAAATACTTTATCTCTCCCACTGAAAAACAAAGCATTCCTCCACTTATAAACCCAATCAACGATGAACTTGTTTTTGATTCAAAATTGAAATCTGACCTTTTGGATGACTTTTTCTGTAGCCAGTCGTCGCTAAATAATTCTGATAAAGAACTTCATTTTAATGATTGTAATATGCCTATAAACACACTTTGTTCTATTTCTATCTCTCCTCAGGATGTTGAAGACGCTCTGCGGTCACTTAAAACAAACAAAGCTTCAGGTCCTGATGGGGTCAGTAACCGTATATTGCGGGAAACTGCTTCATTTTGTAGATTTCCCCTATGTTCGTTGTTCAATCAGTCTCTTCAGACTTGTAAAATACCACTTACATGGAAAAAGGCCAATGTTTGTGCTGTCTTTAAAAAAGGTGATCCATCTGTTCCAAATAACTATCGTCTGATTTTCTTGTTGTGCTGCGTAGAAAAGGTTTTTGAGCGTATTATTTTTTAAGTATCTATTTAATTTAAGATAATAACTTCCTTTCTTCCGTATAGTCAGGCTTCAGACCAGGTGACTCAACGGTAAACCAGTTAACGTACTTGTACAACACATTCTGTAAAGCTTTAGATGACGGATTAGAAGTTAGAGCTGTGTTCTTTGATTTAAGTAAAGCGTTCGATAAAGTCTGGCACAAAGGTCTTCTCTTTAAGCTGAAAGCTGCTGGAGTAGACGGTTGTTTACTTAACTGGTTTTCTGACTATCTTACTAACAGGCACCAGGCGGTTATCCTACCTGGGGTCCAATCAAACTGGTCGATAGTAAAGGCTGGAGTACCCCAAGGCTCCATCCTTGGGCCGCTACTATTTCTTGTTTTCATAAATGACATCGTGGAAGATATATGGAAGATATAGGCTCTAAAATTAATCTTTTTGCTGACGATACCAGTTTACATATTATTGTTGACTACCCTGCTTCTGCTGCTGAAACATTTCAATCTGATATAGACAAGATATCAGCTTGGGCTGAAAAATAGCTGGTTACTTTCAATCCATCGAAGTCTGAATCTATGGTTATCTCTCGTAAAAGAAATAAACCCTTTCATCCTTCACTTCTTATGCATAACCAACAAATAACAACCGTAAACAGTCACAAACTTCTTGGCCTCCACCTTTTAGATGATTGCTCGTGCATTGTCACATTAACTATATTACCGAACGAGCCTGGAAGAGGATACACATTATGAGGAAATTGAAGTTTCAGCTTGACCGTAGATCTCTTGAAGTGATATATTTAAAACTTTCATCCGACCGAATTTGGAGTACGCCGATGTTGTCTATCTAATTTGCACACAATATGAGAAACTTTAGCTTGACAAACTTCAAAATGAAGCGTCGCGTAATTGTGTGCGGTGCTACAAAACTTGTATCATTAGATAAACTCCATAGTGAAGTTCCTTGGGAATCCTTAGAATCTCGAAGAAATAATCAATATGCTTATCTTACTTTATAAAATGAAAAATGGCTAAACACCAGATTACATGTGTTCTTTACTTCCACCTACTGTAGGCGAAAATTCAAGGTACGATCTACGCAATGCTACAAATATTCAGACTATTCGAACACGAACAACTCTTTATCAAAATGCTTTTCTTCCAACTGCTCTGAATAAATGGAACGCCCTTCCAACTGAAGTACAAAATTTACGTTCACTGTTCGCTTTCAAATCCCATTTGAGACGAAGCAGCTCTTGTTGTCCGATTTATTTACTTGAAGGCGATAGAAAATGGCAGATCTACCATTCTATCGTACTGACTGTAGTTCTCTAAATCAGCATCTATTTAAGAAAAATATTTCCCTATCTCCTCTTTGTCAGTGTGGCATAGTGGAAAGTAATTACAACTTTTTCTTTGAATGTCAACGCTATGTTGACAGCAGGACCTCTTTTCTTAACACTATATCTACTATTTGTTCAGCAACTCTCCAAAAGTTATTAAATGGAGACCCAAACATTAGTGATGATGCAAACAGAAGACTGTTTGAAGCCGTTCATACATACATCCGAGAAAGCAGGAGATTCACTTAAGCATATTCACATCAGCTCAAATCACTAAATACTTCCCATTTAAATCGTCGAACTATCCGAATGATCCACATTTCATTTATTTCTTCTTCTTTTCTATTTTGCTGAAAGTTTCTTTCTTCATTTCTTTCTATCTTAATTTACGTTATTTCTCTTTAATTTTATATAACAAAATGATGCAGTCTTGTATTCTCATTCCATTTTTTGTATATATTTTTGCTTTATATTATAACTAAACGTTAGAAACAATTTTGACGTTAACTTCTTAAAAACAATGTAAAATCAGATATATTTCAAGCAAGTCACATATACTGTCATACCGTATTTTATGCATTGTAAATCTATAAGGAGAAGGCCTTTATAAGCTCAGCTTTCGGACCCAATCCTTTTTCAACATTTCATGTTTGTATTGTGTACATTATTGTCTGTATATATATTATGAATTTGTTCGAAATAAACTATGTTTAAACTAAACAGAGTCTGCAATTTTCATGTAATTTTGTTGTCTTTAATGATTCCGAGGGCTCACGCTTTTTCCAGACTTTGTATATGCTTAATACAAAAGTCCTATGGAACAGATATCAGTGTGAAGGACTATTGTATTGAATTTTATTAATTTTGTTGCAATGTGAAAACTGTAGTTGGGTGATGCTTATTATAAAACCAGAATTTGTTGTTTATTTACTGAAGTTTCAGGGTATTGTATCCAAGTTTTCATGTTGTTTTGTTGTCAAAATGGTTTATAAAATATAGGTGGGGTCTTTTGAACACAATTATTGTCAATCAAAATGGAATGCATTCAATTTAATAAGTGTCTAATGTCGTTTGAACACATCTGTGGATGTTTTAATATTCAAAATTTAACCATTTTCATATTTAAATGTTTAATTTTGCTTAAGCCGGTACTTGTGGGTGTGGACGGTTACTTGCATTTTCCAGTACCGTTCATTAACAGGGTGAATCAAACCGAGCCTGCAACATTTTCAATTTTGTCAATTTGGGCGTTCTTTATGGTAAGAACCACATCAGCATACTATGCACATATCCAGGATCTTTTGTGTCTTTTCAGTTATCCTTTCAACAGTTTTGCATACAGTCAAGCGTTATTTGGTGAAGGTATTGGTCCAATCTGGTTAAGAAACTTTCATTGTAATGGTGATGAGGAGAAATTAGAAGATTGTAAATCTTCAGACTGGGGTCAAACACATTGCTCTCATCTACAGGATGCCTCAGTATCATGTGGTATCTATGCTATTCACATTGTTTATCTTATATAGCAAAATAAACTTCGCTACAGGCATTCAGAATTCAATCGTATACAAAATGTGTGAAGTAAAATACACAAATAATGTGTTTTCCTCGCACTCAAATATCACGAATGAAATTGTTATGGGCTTTTAGCAAGAATTTAGTAAACCAGCTTAAATTGAGAACTAAAATAGAAACTCCTGTATTGAAGTTATCCGTAAGGTTATAGGGAATTAGATTGTAAGATTATTTGCAACGTAAAGTAACAATAACAAATCTTATAATAGAAATGATAAGTACAAAAAAAAACTGTAATTAAAGTAATGCTTTCTATTTATAGGTGTTGATCGTCATGCTACTACAACGACAACTTCAACATTAAGCACAGCGGACACAACCCAACCATTAACAACAACTCCGTCTATCCCAGGTAGATATTTCAGCGAACTAAATGACTCATAAATATAAAACACGTATAATAATTTGATCTCAATGAAGAAAGAAAATCTGACTGTCAACATCATTGCACTGCTAACATGAATAAAATGTGCTATATACTTTACAGGAAGCGACATCCGTCTTGTTGGCGGACAGAACTGTTTGGAAGGTCGAATAGAGGTTTTATATGATGGTGAATGGGGTACAGTGTGCAATAATGGGTTTGGTAACATTGAAGCACGCATAGTTTGTAAGGCAGTTGGATTTAGGTAAAAGAAAATTGCAGTTCAAAATTATTACAAATCATATACAAGAATGTTTGATACTTTATTTAACTGATTATACATATGTAAGAATACACAATTCTGCAGTCGGTGCAAGGGGCGTGATAATTTCCATTCTCTTTGGTTTATATAGAATTTGCTTTAGTTGTATCTATAGGAAGCTTAAAACTTATAAAGACACTCTCGAACCAACCAGTTCTAAGCAGTGAGTGTAAAGTTTCTTGTTCTAGGAAACAACGGCTTGTCCCTTACGGGGTTTGATCTCATTCTCATAGCGATCCTTAGGTTACTAGCCATTAGGCCATATCGCCACATTATCCATTATCTTTCTAAGGCATAAACAATTAATTGAACTATTTAATTATGATTTCATTTTTCTCAATGTATCTACAATTTATCAGTATATTTTTCAATTTATCTTAAGTTTTATTTTACTGTCATACATAATTTACTATATAATCTAATAGAAATCTAAACAGAATAAAAACATAATATTAAAAGATGTTACCTTTTTTTGGTTGTTTTAAACCAATGTTACATAGACGCTATCTTTAAAGTCTGTGTTAAGTATTTCTTTTAAAAAATTTACTGTTTCATAAAAAAAACCTAAAATTCATTCATTTGTCATTTTAGCACATTCGAGACATTTGAATCTAGTTTGGATTATGGGAATAGCACAGGGCCCATTCTTTTGTCTTATCTAAATTGTCGTGGATATGAACGTAGCCTATCTGAATGTAAACATTTAGGCTGGGGTGTACATAGATGTAGTCATGGTGAAGACCAGGGTATTCGATGTTGTAAGTAGAACTTTTCAGTTATTGTTCTCTCGTGTATCAATGCTTCAATCAATTGCTTCATCCGTCATTCTCAGGAAATATGAAATTCAAATAATTAAGCATATTCTCATGTTGCAGACTAAAATTTAATTTTCCCACCGGTTAAAGCGCTTGCAATTGATTTAAAAAAAGGGATTAAGTTAAGGTGACTTGACACTTTTTACCGATGCATTTAGAACCAAACATATTTCTGTGAAATCGACATGACTTTAAAAAATATTATAGCAGCGTCTACATCATTCATATATGCGTTTTCATGTAAAACCACTGCAGCACAAAACATTTTTGTTTTATCACCATAGAGTTATATTTTCTTCTACTCTTTGAAGTAGGGAGCACTTCTGTCTTATACAGTAAGAAAAATGTATGAAAGTAATATTGCAATTAATTATACAACTGATGATATCAACTATCAATTGAAAAGTGGGGGATCCAGACATAGATTGTAGGACAGAGCCCGGTGTTCCAGACGTTAACTGTACCTTTAACAGAGGTAGATGTGCGTATCATACAGAAGTGTTATCCGGAAATGTGAACTGGTGGTGGACAATATCCTCAGCATTTGACATAAGTGATTCAACCAATAGCACAAGTTCAACATCCGGTATTTGATGATTAATTTTTTAAACATTGTTTAAAACATAAATGAATTAAACTCATAAATACATGTATATAATTGTGTTGCTATTGTTTGGTCATTTTGGTCAATTTTGTACTTTCGATCTAAATACCAAGATATTTATTCTGGACTTCTTAACATTGTTGTTAATCTTTTCCCGAAGGGGGGATATTAAAATCGCACCGTCAGTATGTCTGTTTGTTTATCCGTTTGTCCTGTTTGAAACTGTTTAAAACGTAAATGAATTAATCTTATGAATTGCACTTACAGGACATTTGTGTCCGGACTGTAACTTTGTCATATATCAACGGATTTTAAAATAACCTGGCACAAATGTCTACCACATCATGATTATATGTCGCGTCTAAGACCCATATCCCTACCTAAAAGCCAAGGTCACAATTACAGTTTGAATGTTAACATTCTCACAATTTAGATTTTTAAGGTTGACACCTTTAACTTTGTTATGCATGGAAGAAGTTTAAAATAACCTAGCATATATGTCTTTCACATCAAGACGACCCGTCTAAGACCCAATTCCCTACCTCCAAGATCAAGGTCACACTCTTAGTTTGAAGATACTTATCTTCACAAGAAGAGTTTGAAGGTACACATTCGTGTCTGGACTGTTACTTTGTCCTGCATTGAAGGATTTTAAAATAACTTAGCAAAAATGTTCCTACCTCCAAGGTCAAGGTCACAATTACAGTTTGAAGGTACATGTACTTATTTGACTTTCATATTTGGTAGGATGATAACTTGCATGATCCTCTTCCTTTGGATTGAGTTAAGGGTCAGTTGGTTCAACGTCACCAGTGCTAAAATATACTTTACACTTTTGCCCATGCAACCTTTATTTTTGGACAGATAATATTTAGTAGAAAGATACATGCATGATCTTGCTTTGGATTGAGTTTGGGGTAACTGGGTTCAGGGTCAAAGTCTTGCATTTATATATATTAGATAAAAGTTTTATTTGTTAATTGAATACTTTTCAACTTTATCATATAGAATTGACATGCCAACTTATATTTTTCACAATAACAAACTTCATGACTCCGTCAAGTTAAATAACTGTGTTTACATAGATTTTACATGTGCTAGACCAAGATTTTAATCCGAAATATATGTGGAATATAATTATTAATTAATATTCGATTGATTTCGCTTTGTTCTAGGGCGAGTAATGGTTTATCAAAATATAATGGGATCTGAGGGTGACAAAGCAAGAATGACATCGCCACTTTTCTCCCCGACATCAACTGAAATGAAAGTAGAATTTTATTACCTGCTTCGCGAACCATCATACAACGATCTAACCTTTAGCCTTAATGAATCTAACGATATTAAGGAAGATGGAGAAGATGGTGGTAGAGTAAGGAAGAGAGCTGATCATGAAGATAATGAAGCACTTGAAACGGACATAACTTGGAACAGTCTGTACGTTCGTCGAGACCAAGAAAACCAGTGGCTTTATGAATGTGTTCAATTGACTGATCTGAATCAGGCTTCAAAGTGTATGTTATTTCTCATATGTACTCGTATATTTATCGGAAAGCCATACTATGAGTTGTTTAGCCAGGCTATATATAATTAAATATAAAATAAAGTTTTAAAGTGACATAGTTTTTTCAATGTCAAGCTGACATAAATTAGTTATATATTTCAATGATAGCTTTTTTACAAAAGCGATTGAACAATTAATAATAATGAAAAATGTTTGGACGAATTAAAAAAAAACAGCTAAAAATATAAAAAGACTGTCCTGCTCTATTGATAAATTGAACATTACCGATAATTTCCATATGATATTAATATATTATATTTTCTCAATGGTCGTTATTCATCATTCAGATTTATTATGAAATTGAAAACAAATATTGCAAAGTAATATATTACAAATATTGAATGTTTTAGTTTTCCCTGAACACTCGTCCTTGACTCTTAGATATACATAATATCACTTTATTTGAATGAATACTGTATGAAAAGTTTAAAAATCGTGTTTTTAATGAATAGCTCAAAAGAATGTCATATTGAGATTACTTTGGCAAAAAAAATCATAATGTCATTAAAGATTAACTTTGATATGTCGTATTGCAAGGAGATGAAAGATTACGGTATATCAACTGACTATTCTGTTTTTATTCAGACTCACTAGCATTCACAGCCAAGCGTGGTCCAAATCCATACCCTTTTGTAGCATTAGATGAAATATTAGTAGCTGAAGGACGTTGTTCTGGTAACAACTTGTTGGATGTCATTAAATGAATAAATTGTATTTGTTAATTAACTTAATTTACACTTCATTAACAAGAATCTGTACAAATAAATGGATAATGTTTCTGATATTTTAAACTTTCAAATAAAACATAGCTGTAAAGTAAAATATTACTTGAGTTTTAATCAGTATAAACAATTAAAAGCTTAACAGAATATGAAATACTTTTTGCTGGTTTTAATTTAAGCACCCAGACAAGTAACATGAAACATGTAGAAAATATAATTAGCATCTTCTATCATCATATTTCATAAGAGAGTATACTGGAGGGGATGTGTGACTTTGATAAACCGAGGTCTTGTGGAATGACAGTAGATTGTTCTAATTGTGACCGGAAAAAACCCTCCTTCAGTTGGATTTGGCAAAGCAACGTAACAAATACAGGCGTGAGGATGGCACATGGTAAATTGTCAGAAAGTGTTAACCATATTATCGATCAAAACGGTCTTTAAATATTCAAACTCACATCAAACCAAGTAGTCTTGTACTGTTATTTTACTTTTAGGCAAAACATTATCGGTAAAGGTTTCTTTATTTGGAATAGGTGTCTTACACATATATTAATATTTGACACCATTCAATCTTGCCCCAAACAAGCTGTTAAATCAGCTGAGTTTTTATTTGCTTTGCGTTTTGTTGATACTATGTGGTATAGTATCATCATAACGCAAATAATCTCTCATTCACGAAAACTTTAACTATGTAAGATAATTGTTATCAAATTTTCCAGGCCGATTTATGATGGTAAATTTTACTTTTGGAAGTGAAGGTGACGAAGCCGTTATGAGTTTTAGTGTTCCATCTCTACATAACAGACCAGCATTCAACTTCAAATACAATGCTGTAAGGCAATACAAAGGGAATTTAGAGGTATAAAAGGATTAATGCGATGCAGCAATTATGTAAAAATGAAAGGCATGCGACTAAATTGAAAGATTTGTTCAGACTCTTTTCAACTTCTACCTATTAAGTATCGTGCAGTAAATCATACTAGCAACTAAATAAGGATTATAATACGCAGTTTCATTACAGTTTTTAATGTGGCAAGAAACTATATTTTCACTCGTTTATATAGTTCAGTCTAATAAAGTCTATGGAAATGAGTTTAATGAGCATTGATTCGTATTTCGCTATAAAATCACTGCTTTTAAATTTCGAAACGCCTGTTTGCCAAATCTTAAATTTTGATTTGGATACATGTATTTTATTGTCATTAATTCCTATTTTATTTGTGTAAATTGTTATAATTTTCAGATATTATTGTATGTGAATGGGACATTTCATTCGGTGATAAGTACTATTAGTAAAAACAGTAAATCGTGGTCGAAAAAATGCATACAATTTCCAACTGATATAGACAGTGATGAACCTGTGACAATTGCATTTAAAGTTGTACATGGAGGTGGAAGCAATGATTATATTGCCGTAGATAATGTAGATCTAACTGCTGAACATTGTCCAAGTATGTATTTTCTTTTAACATTCTGAGAAAATTTAAGCGCTATTGAAGAAGACATGTTTACAAAAATTTTCAAAGTAAATAATAAACTAGTAAAAAAACTAATATTAAAAGTGTAATATCAATATAGATGTTTATCTTGTTTTGATTCAGATCCTGATTTTGAATTAGTGGTGCATTTTCTGAAAGTTTTTCAATGTATTGATGCTTACCATGAAACTCTTAAAATGAACCCTTATGATCAAACATTGTTTTTGCACAGATGTCAGTATCGTTATTTTTTTTTTTAGATAAGATTTTCGCATGATTTATAAAGATTCTTTGAACATACATGTACTTCATTCATGTACACGTGGTTAATTCTGAATAGGTAGGATCGCTTTACTATTATTAACATACTGAAATACATGACTTGCTAATAATTGCTTTCCAAAAATGACGTTTTCTTGTCAAACAGACCCGGTTTCGACTTGCAATGAGGAGACACCGCAATGTGGATGGGTGACTAATTCAAATCGTGTTCCATTTCAGTGGAAATATTTCAAAGGTATAATTCGTCCTGGTCTCATTGTAAATGAACCTTATCACATATTTTTATTATTGAAAGCCAACTTTTTCACGAAAATGATAAGCCTAAAGTAGGTTTTAACGCTGAATAAAAATATGAAATATTAAGTAATTCTTGCGCTGCAACTCCTCGCTATAAAACTTCTACGGCAAACATGAATTGAAAATTTTAATATGATTCATACCTGTGAATTGTCTTGGGTGATAAAATAAACATTATAAATATAACAAAGTTTCTTTTCTGTTTTTTTTTTCGAATTGATGACGCTGAATTTTGAACTATATAAAATATGTGAATAACTAAATAATATCACGCATCAACAAAAACCGGCTACTTCAGCCTTCAATTCGAAACAATTTCGCGTATCAATTTTCTTTACAATATACATGTATCAGAATCAAAATAAATTGTGTTTAAAAGCGAAAAACAGAATGAATAAAAGTAAATAATGGAAAACAATCACAAAGTATCTGTTTAAATCACATTTGCTTATAAATATTTAGAAGGACAAGTGGGTTCAAGTGCTGCCAACCTTCGACTTGTTGATGGTCCCGATCCAAGTAAAGGGCACGTTGAAATATTGCACAATGACATTTGGGGCCGTGTATGTGATGACGGCTTTGGAACCGCTGAGGCAACGGTTGTTTGCAGAATGCTCGGATATCCGTAAGTATAGTATAAATATTTATCAAATACCCATCCTCCTCCGTTACTTCATATTCGTTTACTGATATGATATGACGTGATATTCGTGAACACACGCTATAATACTGTAAAAAAATGAAAGTTTTTTACTGTAAGCTATTCTTACTTTTGTTTTGTAATAAATAGATATTATATTTGTGTAGCTTAATTAGTGAATGTTTGGAGAAATAATTACTTGTACAATTCGTTCCGTAAACTTATTATTGAATCTACGCTCATCCAATATTCGCTTTAACTAATGTTCGCATATTTTCTGAATAGACTACAATAAGCGATGAGTATGTTTCATGTTCTAAAGAGCATCATAGAAATGTTTCTTTTGATGTTTTATTTTGAGTGACAGACTTGTTGGCCATTTAATGAATTATTTTTGTTCTTTAAAATTCGGCTGAGTTGATATTACTGGCATGCGAGCAGTTCCCGTACAAAAATCATAGTTACTTAAACATTATTTTTTATTACGATCACTCACCAAAATTTAAATGTTACACATCAATATTCGGCTCGTAACACAAATCATGGAAATTCCATCATGTTCTAAACATAGAATAACCCTTACTTATGAGGCCTCAAATGGGGTACCGAAATTATCCATTATTTTGTATGAAGAGAAGTAGTTCCCGTACATTAAATCTAACCCATTGTAATTATATAATTTTATTATATCGGACCTATTTTTCATTTACAATTGTTGAACAGACCATTATCTAAGAGATAAATAGATGTTATTCAGGAAATAGAGCGTAGACAAAACGCGGGTATCTATTACCCGGTACCGTTACCCCAACGCATTCACATGCAATAGCATGCTTGTATGCATGATATTTTACGCATCAAAGCCATAAAATTATTTTATATAGTAATATTGGTCAAAATTCTGATAATTAAACAAGTTTTCATCACATTGCCTACTTATCTGTAAACAGGTGGTATTAGTGGAAAACCCTTTAACAAGCCTCATGTGTAAGTATTTTTGCGCATGCGCGCAAGGACGGAATCCCCCAGAGAAAACAAGGTCACGTTTTGACGACGCACAGGTGAAAGTGATTTAAAATGAGACTTTTTATACGTACTACCGAACTGACACTTACATTTTGTCTTGTTTATGTATCTGCTTAATTTGAAATGAATTTTTGAAGAATGCAAGTAAAAATCAAGCGTTTAAATGAAAAATACGGGTACTGCTTCTGTACGGGAACTGCTCGCATGCCAGTATGGTTTTTTCTAACTCTCTAACAAAATAACAGGACATCCGAACCTATAGGAGTGAGTGTATGTACTAAAAACTTAATGTTGATTTTATGTTATGATTTGAAAGCTTTGTCTTGAAATGTAAAACGTTTTTCCTAATGCCACTCATGTGTATTTTTATTTTTCATTTCATTTTATAAGAAAACCATTTATTGAAGACAATACAGAACAACATTTGCATTATATTTCACATATGCTTGTTTGTCGTTTGATTCAATGAAAATCTCAAGTTTTATATAATTTTGCATTTTTTTTATGAAGAAAAGATGCAAACAGTGCTTGTGTGTGTTTTTTTCTTGGTGTTTTTTGTCTTATGACTTGCATATATACACACATACCTCTATTTTCAAAACATGTTTTTGTTAACAGAACAGAAACTGTTGAATATCTGGAAGAATCAACTTATGGTTACACATACTGTGTACCTATATGGTTAGATGAATTATCCTGCACTGGTGATGAAGAAAGTCTTGAGGACTGTGTTCACAATGGCTGGGGAAAAACTGATTGTACTGTATCGGAACATGTAGCAGTACACTGCTTTGGCACTCCTTCAGGTAAAAATTAATAAATGATATTTAAATATAGATCAAAGTTATCACTGTTATTATTATTATTTTCTATTACATTGGCATTTGTAGTTTCAGACATTTTATTATTTCTATGATTTATGTATGAAAGAATCATATTTAATGTAGGAACAAAATGTGACCATTTCGTTTTATCAAATTAATTATTTTCATTGTCGGAAACTTCTAAGTCTTTAATGTATTATTTATGTATAACCTTATGTTTTAACCTGTCATATTGTAAAGAAGTTCTAAAGGAAGGACTTAATCTAAGGTTGTAAGAACTTGTTGCCCAACCCATTCGCATTTTGATATATACTCATTATTTATATGATATGTTTGTAAACATGTATTTAATGCAATAAAATATGTTTAAACTAAAGAAGTTCGAAAATAACAGGACATCAGCATGTGATTATATCAAGTGATCATAACATATTGCAAAAACATAAGAAAAAAATTCACTTAATTGATGCATATTTGTGTTAGCGGTTAAGAAAATCCTCTTTCTAGATTATTTACCAATATATTTAGATTTAAATTTAGCCATCCATTAGCCACTATTTAGCCATCCATTAGCCCTTAATATGCTGATTTCCTGAGTATTGGATTTGCCTATCTTTGATTTTTAACAATTCATTTGAAAATTGAGGAATTTAAAAATTAAAATACAAAAACTGAGTAACCAACAGTGTAGCGCCTGGTCAGGCTAATGGATAAACAGGCTTTCCTGGTTATATACTGGCGGCAGGTGCTGATCATATTCGGTTCGAGCAGGGTTAGGCTTATTGTTGCCGGATTATATATTGTTTGCTGTTTTATTTAGAGCATCTTGCTTCATGATTACAGGTTCAAATGAAATTGAAAAGAATGTCTTTATGTTGTCGGACCAAAGTGATGCCAATATAAGTATGATATAATCTTTTTTTATTTATCTATTTATTTATTCATTCGTTTCATATATTAAAATACACAATAGAGCATGTATGTAATCATTCATACTTTACAACATTGTTTGAATAATGAGTTTTTAAACCTTAATAAAACAATCATATCCATTGCTAACTTGTCTGATATACATGATAAAAAGGGATAGAAAGAGAAATTTATTTAATTGCTGTCTTCCGTTTCGGCTTTCCCTTTTTAGAAAAAAAAGTTTACAAATAATTGTTGTTTTTTTTTTACACATTTTGAATTTCTGTATAAAACAATTGTAGCCTAATTATTTTTGACTCAAAATGGACTGCACATATTGTAAAAACAATTGTCAAGTTGACATCAGGCCCCGTGTTCACAAAGAATTAAGGATCAGGATCAAGATCAGGATCAAATTTAAAAAATCCAATATTCTTCATTGATTTTCCACAGATATTAAATATCTAATCTTAATTTGATAAAACTGGACTTGCAATAGCAAGTTAATGAAATTTAGAATAAATTTATTGTTACTTTTGCAAGATACGGGTATTTTACAGTTGATCCAAATATTGATCCTGATCCTAAAACTGATCCTTATTTTGATCCGAATATTTTTCTATTTGTTTTGCTATTTGTCCATTTTGTCCCAAAATGGTTTGGTTTTTTTGCAAATCAAAATACTTTTACATTTTGAATATTTATCATTTAATTCTAGCAAAACACTATTTATTTTAGTAAAATAAAATAATTAAAATAAAATCAGGATCACTTGATCCTGATCGTGACCTTTTCTTTGTGAACACGGGACCAGTACGTCATTTTAAATTACTTATATAATCATCTGGATAATTTGTCACTTTAGACTGTACAATTTTAGAAACAAAATCAATGTTACCAAAATACGTTATTTTTGTAGCTTTCGGAAAAATATATAACCACATCATAAAATATAAAGTTGACTTTAAGATTTGATCTTAATTCAATAAAACATTCATGTATGTAATAATGGTAGATTTTCTGATTGAAAAAATATACACAAAGTTACATTAACAAAATGATTTGGGTAGGGAAATATTTCATCTATACAAAATAATCGGAAAAAGTAATGGATGGATTGTCTTTTATAACATATATTCTAAAACAATTATCATTTTATAGACAGCGGACATTATAATTATTACATGTATTTGTTATACTCATAAAGGTACAGATTGTTTCCAAAGTCCAAGTACTGTTATTTTTTATATTTTACTACCATTACTATTTTGAAAAAATGCATTATTTCTAAATATCTGTTTCATTAACTGTTTTATTTTGCGCACTAATCTTTGTACTAAAAAAAATATGTTACAGATTCGTGGGCATCTCTTTCATCAAGTGACATCACACATACAGGCGGCGAGTATAGATTTGTCTTCGACATGTTCAAAGCTGGTTTTGAATTAATACAGGTCTTGATATTTTAAGTTTTATTATCGTTTGCTTCATTGTACAATAATTGTCATGTATATGCAGATTGTAGATTCACTGCCTCTGACAGTAAATAAGCTATCTCAAATATTATATATAGTTGTATCACTTATAGTGGATTATTCGATTAGCCGTAAGTGAGTCCACTATCAATGATAATGGATTAACCTTCACCAAAAGTGAATAATTTATCACCAAAGGAGACTTGTGAATTCACTTTCACCAAAAATGAAAAGAAAATTCAAACAAAAATATCACCAAAAATGGATTAACCATAGCCGAAAGTAAATGATTGAAAGTAAATCACTGAAAGTGGATATACTAATTAATCACTATTAATGGATAGATTAATAATGTTCGAAACACATTCAAACTTGATAACATTATTCGATAAAACATCGGCTAAAGTTGCCCTGTACAAAAGTAATTGTGAATCTGTTAATAGTGTTAATTTACAAAATATTATGATAATTTCTCTTATTATTATTCTCTTATTAGGTATGGTATCAAATTCAAAACAAAACACATATTTTAGACAAAATATTTGATCCAACCGATTCAAAAGTGAGATACTGCGTGGATTTTGCCGATATTACGGGAGAAATTACAGTTGGGCTTACAGCATTTAAAACATCGGTATATAACGTTAAAACCTCTGTGGCAAATTTTTCATTGGAACAAGGGCATTGTAAAGGTAATTTTGTTTTCATATATCAAATAATAAATGCTGTCTGTAAAATTCTTCCCTATGTTTCTGTTATTTAGCTATGAATTAAAATGTTATATTTCTTATCATATTGAATATTGTGTAATTATATTTAAATAATTGTTCTAAGGTAAAAGTAATTAGCATAAAAGTGTGAAAGTAATTTATTTTAATGTCTTCTTATGTTGCCATATTGACAAATGTACATGTTCTTGAAAATAGGAACATCGGTAAATTCAGGTAATATACACATGAAAACACATGACATCGTTTTGCAAAATTTGAAGCAAACTTGGCATTTCACAGGTTTTTTTTTCTATTATTGATTTTGTAGAATCCCCTATAAAACGAAACTTCACATTTGAAAGTGACTATATGTTTTATGGCTACGAAGTTTCAATGGACGAGAATGTTTGTGAACAAAGTTATAAATGGGGACGGGTACAGGCAAAATACAGTTATGGTATAGATATAGACAAAACTTTAGTGGATGAAACAGGTACCTATTTATCAGAATGACCAACATAGCAAATAACCTTCAAGCCCCTTGTGTATTATTATAGGTTCGAGGTACCCGCTTGTGCCTGAAATAAAGCACGGAGGGGCACCCGAGGTCTTCCTCCACCATTAAAGCTAGAAAATCGCCTTGTGTCCTTTTCAGCATTGGTGTGGCGTATTTCCGCCAATAAAACATTACAACAATCATGAAAATACTATATATTTATATTTTTTTGTAATAGGCATTTGATACACGATATTAGTTAGACAATCATGTTTAACTGAACTATATACAGTAACAATGGAGCTTAATACATGTCATGTTGGGACTTCTTCATTTATCACTTTTTATGCGTTTTTTATGGTAAATTTTATTTCTTACAAATACAGTTTTCCCATCAGTATACAGAAATAAAACCATTGTTATTTACAAAAAGTCAATGACATGGTATAAGCATGATATACATGTAATATAATATATAGATTTATATGTCATGTTTTACAGGACATTTTATGTATGTAAACCTCTTATACGCTGATGCGGGACATACATCTGACTTCGCTCTAAAACAAATCACAGCAGAAGAGTCCAGAGGATTATGTAGTCTTAAATTCTTCTATTTCGTGAATGGTAAACCACTGCTACATTTTTTTATTGCAAACAAATATTTCATTTTCAAATACAAAAGTACAAAAGCAAAACAAACAAAAAACATTGCTTATCCAATAAAACTTTTCATAATTTAGTTTGAACAGTTCAGAAAAGCTAAGCTTCGGCGAATGTGTTTATTATTTGACGAGAAAGTAAACATGATAATCTATAAAACATTTCAAGCGTCTTTCAATTATCACCAAAGTATAGCTAAATAAAAAGAAATACCAAAAAAGTTAACATCATATTAACTGTTTTAGGTGTAACTAGGCAACGTTATTTAGAATTGGTCGTAAATACAAAGGCCATAAATCTAATCGGTATACCAAAAGTACATACCTGGTTCTCTGGTTGCGTTGACTTGGTAGACACTTGCGGTGAAGATCCGGGATCATTAGATATAAAGTTCCAAGCAGTTCATGTGGAAGCTGGTATCGACGACATTGTTCTGGCAACCGATTCATGTCCAGGTAATGTTTCCATCATAT